TAGTGTCCCCTCTGTATGTTGTGTAGATAGACAGGTGTACTGTTGATAGCGTCCCCTCTGGATGTTGTGTAGATAGACACGTGTACTGTTGATAGTGTCCCCTCTGTATGTTGTGTAGATAGACACGTGTACTGTTAATAGTGTCCCCTCTGTATGTTGTGTAAATAGACACGTGTACTGTTGATAGCGTCCCCTCTGTATGTTGTGTAGATAGACAGGTGTACTGTTGATAGCGTCCCCTCTGGATGGTGTGTAGATAGACACGTGTACTGTTGATAGCGTCCCCTCTGTATATTGTGTAGATAGACAGGTGTACTGTTGATAGCGTCCCCTCTGGATGTCGTGTAGATAGACACGTGTACTGTTGATAGCGTCCCCTCTGTATGTTGTGTAGATAGACACGTGTACTGTTGATAGTGTCCCCTCTGGATGTTGTGTAGATAGACACGTGTACTGTTGATAGTGTCCCCTCTGTATGTTGTGTAGATAGACAGGTGTACTGTAGACAAAAGGGTATACTTGCCAGTGGTACACCTCTGTAGCAGGAGAGCATACAGCTTTGGAAACGTTAGTTGAAGGTTTTACGTATGAGGAGTGATATCCTAATGCTGAACAGTTTGTATTTACCCTTTCTCCATCGCGAAGTTTCGTTCGCTTCATCGCTTCATTCGCTTCTTTCCTCAAAAACTGCTTTGTTGGAGAACATAAATTCTTCACATTGATGTAACTTTTCACGATCGAAAATGAGTTGGAAAATTGGTGTCTTAAATTGCTTTTAGAGTTCTTACCTTGTAATGTTTTTCAGCTTCGCAACATTCACGCAAACCGCGAGAAATGGGGAAAACTTTGCTTAAATCTTGTTGGAAGTTAGGGAACACTTATTTTATACACTGATGTTGGTGGTCACGATGTGAAATGTGTTCGAATGAGTGAGCGTGTGAGTGAGTTTGTTTTACACCGCCAGCTATATGGCGGCGGTCTGTAAATAATCGAGTCTGGATCAGACAATCCAGTGATCAACACCATGAGCACCTCGATCTGTGCAATGGGGAACCGATGACATATGTCAACCAAGTCAGCGAGCCTGACCACCCGATCCCGTTAGTCGGCTCTTACGACAAGCAAGGGTTACTGAAGGCACATTCTAACCCGGACCTTCACGGGTAGAAATGTGTTCGACAATTGGTGTCTTAAATATATTTATACAGAGCTCTGGCCCTTGCTCCATGCTTTTTAACTTAAGCACACTGTGTGAAATGGAGACAGCTTTTCTCAGAAACTACTGAAGTTACAAGAATGACACTTCACAAAGACACATAAGTATCAAGTTAGTGGCATCAATTATTTCTTTCAAGAGTTACTTCCCTTTCTACGTTTTTTAATTTGAGTAAATACAGTTGCCGCCCTTTATCGATTATATTTTACTCGGTGCATAGTGTGTGTAATGGAGACAAATATTCTAAGAAACTACCGAAGTTATGGAAAGTTACTCAAGACTGGCTTCTTAATTTGGTGCCATGAAACTTTTGTTTTCTTCAAAGAAGGGGTCGTTTGTATTTATTGAACAGTTAATATTTAGTCCCCGTGGCCCGTAGCGGGGTCTGCCTCTTGTGCCCTACTCCCGTGTGTGCAAACACAGTTGTATCTCTTCTCGCCCGCCTAGCTAGTGGGAATCAGGTCGGGTCACAGTGAAACGGACGGTATCGTCCTGTTGACTGGGTTTCGGGCGGGATGTGCGAGAGAGATGTGCTGGCCAGCTGTTGGGATCCCTCCCTCCTTTCCCAACCCTGGTGTCTATCCTACCAGGTTCATCATACCTCGTAGATGTCCAACCAGATGATTGGATATTGTCAGCTAGAGGTAGCTGAATTAACATGCTATAATTAGACTAACGCTTAGTCGCTGAGTGAGTGAGTGAGTAGCAATATTCCAGCAATTTCACGGCAGGGGACACCGGAAATGGGTTTCACACATTAATTGTACCCATGTGGGGAATCGAACCCGGGTCGTCGGCGTGAAGAGCGAACACTTTAACCACTAGGCTACCGCACCGTTCCCTTTAGTCGCTGAGATAAGTGGAACGTTGATAGAAACAAGCAATACCTTTTAAACTTGAAACTGAGTCCCAGTGAAATGGGAGATCGTGAACCTGAGGAATCTACACTTGCTTCTGTTTAGGTCTTTAGCATTGCAGAAAGGGCTGGGCAGAAGGGGAAGACTGTGAGACCGACTATACTGTAATGGGTAGCCCTGTGTAACGGTATACTCTTAGAGGGTGCCTAGATGAGATAGCATTTACAGCCCGGTTCCCACAGGGGTGCACAAATCACTCAAGTGTTCAAGGCGCCTTTGTGCATTTTGCGCAGCTGCGTCCTATGATAGTGAGTTTCAACCTCTGGTTATGTCTCTACATACGTGGATTTTCTCAAAATTGGTAAACGTCAAATATCGGCGCGACTGTGGGCCTCCTTCTCAAATGAAGTTTACAGTCATTATATTATTGTTTCAGGGACGATGCACAGCGTGAACCTCACTCACTCTTACATACCAAGAGGCTCAGTGATCCCTGTGTATAACAGAAATGTTTTGTGCAACTTTCGAGTTAAACATACTTCTTGTGACCTTGAGCTGACATAACGTCAGGTTTGACCCGAGCCATGTGCTCCTTCCGTCTCTCCATAATATACTCTACCATTTTACTTTACCGGAGTCCTCTACGGCGATCATAGTGAACATATCTTGCATACCTATATCTTGGCCAATAGTGACTGATGTAAAGCTGTCTGTACAATGCAGAACAACAGGTTTAATTTCCCCGTGAACGTGTTTTATGAATAATTGGATCCTACTTTCCCCGTTCATCGCTGTCATGAAGTAGGCTGGAGCTACTGTACACGTTTTCAGCTACTTCGTGCAGTACCACTGATTTCCCCAATACGTTATGTGTGGTCCGTATATCATTATCTTAATGCATTTTTATTAAACATATACAAATATTGTCATTTAACCCAATATCACCATTTCTACAACTTTGAAAAGATGACAGTTGGTAAATATGTATATTTGAGAACAGCATTTTTAAACAAGTTCGAGAATATATATCAAACTCTAGAAGGTTCAGTAATTGGATATAACGTATATTGTCTAAATAATTCATGGATTCAATGTATTACTTTATTTTAAATGTCTTATTCCCCTTTTGTATATATATTTCTACCCCTGTACATATAGTTTGTTTCACTTCTGCATGTAAGCACTGTAAATATGAGAGGGTTTCACTAAGTTGAAATAACTATGTTTAAATAACAGTTGGTAAATAAACTCTGTCAAAAAAGAAACGCAACCCCTGTCCTCAGATATGAAAAATTCGTTTGAATGAAGTTATTGCTTCCAAACTAAATTTTATTCGAATGTATTGAAATTATACACGTAATTAATGAAGATTACCATCCAAACAACTGCATTTGTACGCATAAGTGTATTTTATTGCTTATTCCGTCACAACGCATGAAATGACCCTCATGGTGACTTCGCACAAAAAAAACACATGCAAATCATGAAAATGGCAGTTAATGTAGGGGTGTATAAAAGCCCATGTGCTTTCGTATTATATTCATTCATTTGTCGCCGAAAAGCTGTGTTAAAAATGCCACGATTGAGTGCTGCCGACCGAAATATCGCCATTGGTCGTGTTCAAGCCGGAGAAAGTTTTGGAACTGTTGCACGGCACCTAAATGTTCACAAAACAACGATATCCCGACTTTGGAGCCGCTACAACAACTTCAATTTGACCAACGATCGCCCGAGAAGTGGAAGGCCAAGAATCACGACCCCCCTTCAAGATCGGTACATCCGGGTCCATCACCTGCGTAATCGGCATGCCCTACCAACCGTGACTGCCACACAAATACCAGGTTTGAGGAGAGTGTCAGCTCAAACGATTAGGAACCGTCTGAAAGAAGCGGGTTTACGTGCCTGTAGACCAGTTGTTGGACCTGTACTACGCCCCTACATCTCCGCCGACGACTCAGGTGGTGCAACAACGTAAGGATATGGACTTTACAAAACTGGAGGCGCATCTGGTTTTCTGATGAATCCCGTTTCTTTTGCAACGTCACGACGGAAGAAAACGTGTGTATAGGAGACGTCATGAACGTTTTGCGCCCATCTGCGTCCGACAGGGGACAGATTTGGCGGAGAAAGCGTTATGGTTTGGGGATCCATCTCATACAACCAGAAATCAGACTTGGTGATCGTTGAAGGGAACCTGACAGCCCAACGTTACATCAACCACGTATTACAGCCTCACCTTCTCCCGATTATTGACCAACAGACACAGATTTTTCAACCAGACAACGCCCGGCCTCATACTGCACGTGCAACAATGAACTTTCTGCAGAATTCCAACGTCAATGTCTTGCCATAGCCCTCTAAATCACCAGACCTCAACCCTATTGAACACCTGTGGATACTCTGGGTCGACGCGTACGTCAACGTCAGCCGCCGCCACAGACGCTGCAACAACTCGGCGTTGCACTGCAGGAGGAGTGGAGAGCCATTCCCCAGGAAAGAATCCGGCGTCTTATCCGTTCTGGTCCAAGGAGATGCCGTGCAGTGATTGCAGCTCGTGGTGCTCATACGAGATACTGAGAAAGACGCCCCCCTGGTGACTAACTGGTGTCTGTGAGATGACTTTTGAAATGACAATTTTAAACATGCCCATCTTGGTTATTATTCTGCCAAATTTCAGACTTCTGTCTTACATAATAAAAATGCTGTGTCGTCTTAAAACTTCAGATCAAAATCTCTAAAATACAGGGGTTGCGTTTCTTTTTTGACAGAGTTTATGTATGTTTAAGAACAACATTACAGGTGTTTTGATGATGTTATACCATGTTATTCAACATCACGTGGAGCATATGTCTGAGCGTGCACCGTGAACATCATGACAATGACTTATGTGTACATGGCCATTAACTATACCAGTGTCCTTTCCTCAGATGTCAGAGCATGACGTACCCGGATGATCTCCCGACAACCAGTATAGTCATCCCTTTTCACAACGAGTGGCCCTCCATCCTGCTGAGGACTGTCTACAGCATCATCAACAGGACGCCCAGCCACCTACTGAAGGAGATCATCCTCGTCGACGATGAGAGTGACTTGGGTGAGAATCAGAGACAGGACAGCACCAGTTCAATATGACTGGTATACTGTCTACATACACCACAGTCTGATAGTAACTGAATCACAACCTGGATATAAGACGATAAAACAGTGGTGTAACAAGATTACAAGATAATATTACAGTGGGATAAGATGACGTTACAGTAGTGTAGATGATATCACAATGTTATAAGATTATACTCCCCAGAGAGTTGAGATTGTTAACACGATGTGCCGTTGAGACTGACATCCAATGATCGTGGAAAAAAATACCAGCGCCTTGAGCAAGCACTAGTTGCCTTGATATGTGCGCTACATAAATATCGTATAATATATAAGTGATAAAAGCTGATATATCAATGGTATAAGGTTATGATCAGTGGTATAAGATGATGTTACAGTAATGTAGACAATATCACAGTGTTGAAAGATGATATTACAGTGTCATATGCTGATATATCAATAGTACAAGTTGATACTAGAGTGCTTTTCGATGATATCACAATGGTATAATATATTATTATGCAAGCATATTTTTCCGGCTACCTGATTGGCCTAGAGGCGGTCACGTGACCGTCAACAGAAAAGCATATTGACTCCAACCCAGGTCCGACCAAAAGACATTGGTTTGTAGTGAAAATAAAATTACTTTTTTTGAGTAAATGGACATGTTTTGGATTTTAGAAGCTTTTTTGGTAATTACATAATAAAACAATTATAGACTGGCGAATTCGGTCAATACCTGTCTCATAAAATACCCGTCCTCGCTCAATATTGCTATTCGCGGGTCCATAAAATTACCCAGCGTGGGACTCGAAAACATTTGCGCCGCTATATAAGGTGATATTACAGTGATAAAAAATAATGTTACATTGGTATGATATAACAGTGGTATAAGATATCACAATGGTATAAGATGATATTAAAGTGGTATAACAGCACTATAACATAGGTAACGCACGGAGTAAGAGGGTGTGATAGGGTGTAGCAGGGAGTAAGAGGGTGTGGTAGGGTGTAGCAGGGAGTAAGAGGGTGCGGTAGGGTGTACCAGGGAGTAAGAGGGCGTGATAGTGTGTAGCAGGGAGTAAGAGGGTGTGATAGGGTGTAGCAGGGAGTAAGAGTGTGTGGTAGGGTGTAGCAGGGAGTAAGAGGGTGTGGTAGGGTGTAGCAGTGAGTAAGAGGGTGTGATAGGGTGTAGCAGTGAGTAAGAGGGTGTGATAGGGTGTAGCAGTGAGTAAGAGAGTGTGGTAGGGTGTATCAGGGAGTAAGAGGGTGTGATAGGGTGTAGCAGGGAGTAAGAGGGTGTGGTAGGGTGTATCAGTGAGTAAGAGGGTGTGGTAGGGTGTATCAGTGAGTAAGAGGGTGTGGTAGGGTGTATTAGTGAGTAAGAGGGTGTGATAGGGTGTAGCAGTGAGTAAGATGGTGTGGTAGGGTGTATCAGTGAGTAAGAGGGTGTGATAGGGTGTAGCAGTGAGTAAGAGGGTGTGATAGGGTGTAGCAGGGAGTAAGAGGGTGTGGTAGGGTGTATCCGGGAGTAAGAGGGTGTGGTAGGGTGTAGCAGTGAGTAAGAGGGTGTGGTAGAATGTAGCAGGGAGTAAGAGGGTGTGGTAGGGTGTAGCAGGGAGTAAGAGGGTGCAGTAGGGTGTAGCAGGGAGTAAGAGGGTGTGATGGGGGTAACTGGGCGTAGCAGGGAGTGGTGGGGTGTAGTAGGGTGTGATAGGGTGTAACAAGGTGTGATAGGGTGTAACAGGCGGTGGTAGAGTGTAGAAGGACGCAACAGAGCGTGGTAGAGCGTAGCAGGGAGTAACAGGGTGTGGTGGGGTGTAGATGGGCGTAACAGGTTGTGTTAGAGTGTAGTAGGTTTTAACAGGGTGTGGTGGGGCGTAGCATGGTGGGGGTAGGGTTTACCAGGAAGTGGCAGGCTGTAGCATAATGTAGCAGGATGTAGCAGGATGTAGTTGGATAATGTCAGGAATGTATAGATCCAGAGGCTCTGTTAGACTGATACAAGAGAGTATAGCTATATACATACTGATACTGCAGAATTTCTGCGGTTACACTAGGGCGACTCTTCCGGTGGAGGATGGTGAGTTCTCGGGGCTCCAAGCTGCAGCGTTTGTTTCCATGACGACAGAAGTAGTTATCATTCAGAATAAAGGAGAAAGCCATTCACAACCTCCATGCATGTGTATATTGTATGCATGTACAAAGACCGGTGGGCAATGTAGCTGTGGACGAATAAATAGTGTATAAGCCTCCCAGTATTTGGGGTTAAACAGTGTATTGATCCAGTATGGAACAAATCACATGGAACAATTATCCGCGATATCGACATGGTCAGGACATGTGCGTCCCTTCAGTATACAGTCAGCTCTCGTTAATCCGACACTCATTAATGACGATCATGACATTTAGTAAACATTGATATTTTCACACAGATACATTAATCCGACATTTTCATTAATCCGACATTTTCGTTAATCCGACATATTTCTCTGCAACCACAAGTGTCGGATTAACGAGAGTTGACTGTATGTTATTTATTATGTGGAGTGCACTATACTTGGGAAACACATGTCCATTTATGTTTTTGTACAAACATGGTCCTGTGACGTCATTCATTTCAAAGGATGTCGATCTTGTAATTCTTCCATCAGTCGAAAATCCCACCGTGTTATAACCGAAACCATCGATGTCTCTACTAGCACGTTGTCTTATAACAGAGATCGTCAATTTGTCTAGATGTATAGAGGCACACTGTCTTACAACAGAGAATGTCAATAAGTCGACGCCTATAATGGCACACTGTCTTACAACCGAAATCGTCAATTTGTCTAGGCCTATACTGGCACACTGTCTTACAACCGAGATCGTCAATTTGTCGACGCATATACTGTGAGTATACTGGCACACTGTCTTATAACGAAGATCGTCAATTTGTTTACGCCTATACTGGCACACTGTGTTATAACGGAGATCATCAATTTGTCAACGCCTATACTAGCACACTGTCTTATAACGGAGATCGTCAATTTGTCGACGCATATACTGGCACACTGTGTTATAACGGAGATCGTCAATTTGTCGACGCTTCTGCTTGTAAACTCTCATACCACCGTCGACTCGTGAAGTGGGGTCAAGGCATGTACTGGCACACTGTCTTACTACCCACAAAGTTCGCTGAGTGGCTGAACCGCTGTCCGTTCTGTGTGCTAACGGCAAATACAGGATGTCGCCCTTCTAGAAATATTGATGTAGTATAATTCAGTTTGGTATAGGGATGTGGTGTCAAAAAGGGGTTAATATTCTTGATGTAAGCCCCGATACTTCCTTAGGCAACATTTAGCGTCTCCACGAAACGTTTGATACATTCTACCACACAGTCAACAAATGTTAAATAACTAAACCAGTACAACAATGCTTGCGTCTTCTAAGCCTGGATGTTATAGAGAGGTTAGTGGAAGTTTCCCCTACCAAGGACATACACTCCACGCGGCGTACCTCATACCACGTAGTTCTACTTGTGATATTTGTACAAGGCGTTGTTGGTACACATAAATCAGTTGATAAATATTTCACTGACGTTAATAACCCCGTTTACATCGTGTACAGCCAGTAAACAGGACATTTATATGAATTTCCAAAACATTCTAATAATTGTTTTCAGGTTTCTATTCAAGATGTTTTTGTATGTTGTCAAGATATGGTAGAAAAACGTTCGAGTAGAGTTGCTTGTGGCAGACCATGGTTCCATTGATCACAGGAGTCTGCAAGCTCCCTTGTCGGTGAAGTAAATTCATCGTATGCCGCCACTTGTTGACTTCCTCACAGTTTTTGCGACAACTCACAATTTTGTTGACATGGTATTTTGTTAAGAGTGAGTTTTTTCTGTATGACGACAATGCCATACGAGATGTTTACGGCGTTTGTGTGCAAATATGGAATAAAACAGAGCATTTCGCTCCTGTCCTCTCAATATGGCGAATTTCTTCAAGGACAAGCACCAATATTATGTTGAACTTTTATTTGTTAGGAAAGAAAGAAGAATACAATAAAACAGGAAGCTGTACCAAGCACCCTTGTTATTGTTTGGACATGCGTTATGTATATATGTGAGCTATTATAATTCTCCCTGTATCGTTTCGACAACTTGACTGCGTGGTTCTGGACAGAAGCAGTGTATTGCGCATGATTTGTTATTTTCTCTTTGTACCTGGACGATATCGTGTGAATAGTCTGGAAATTGTATTTACACAAGCTAGGAAACCATATTCTTCATGTTATATTTACATGATTACATTTCTATCCACATGATATATACACAAGTAGAACTTACCCAAGTGTTGTTATAACACACTGGTGTCCTCCCATTAGTCATACGTCCCACTTGTCATGCGGGTTAAAACTACATATGGTATGGTTGGCTGCACTAACAACTACCTTTATAATATCCCTTGTAAAAATAAAGTGGATTGATCCAAGAAACTAATAAACAGCTTCACATCAGTGAACTTTAATAGTCTGTCTTCAGCATAGTATACATGCATAATCTGATCTTGAGCATAGTATACATGCATAATCTGATCTTGAGCATAGTATACATACATAATCTGATCTTGAGCATAGTATACATGCATAATCTGATCTTGAGCATAGTATACATACATAATCTGATCTTGAGCATAGTATACATGCATAATCTGATCTTGAACATAGTATACATACATAATCTGATCTTGAGCATAGTATACATACATAATCTGATCTTGAACATAGTATACATGCATAATCTGATCTTGAGCATAGTATACATACATAATCTGATCTTGAGCATAGTATACATGCATAATCTGATCTTGAGCATAGTATACATACATAATCTGATCTTGAACATAGTATACATACATAATCTGATCTTGAGCATAGTATACATACATAATCTGATCTTGAGCATAGTATACATGCATAATCTGATCTTGAGCATAGTATACATGCATAATCTGATCTTGAACATAGTATACCATACATAATCTGATCTTGAACATAGTATACATACATAATCTGCTCACGTAAACGGTATCATTAACACATTATTCTATATTTAAATAACTTCAATAACTTACAGAACTTAAATTCACAGTTTCGCAGTTAATGGTCAGTTGGGTAGAGGTAGCCAACAGCATCCAGAAACTGAAATGAGTATTTCTTCCAACAGGACTTCGTTCACTCGAAATAATACCTACAAGCTAAAGGTTTAGTAATCAGTTGGATGTTTTCTGTCGGCTCGTGTCGAACCACAATAAACATAGCATTGTTGTCAAGGAAATTGATATATATTTTATGTCACGTATCTTGCACGTGGGTCGTTAGGTCTTGCTGCAGGTTGTTGCCTATATCTCAAGTGCTGCATGTGCTGTTCCAGCTGAGCTGAAGGAGGAGCTGGACACGTACATCAGGACTCACCTGGAGAAGCGGGGCGTCATGCTGGTCCGTCTGCCCCGGAGAGTGGGGCTGATAAAGGCACGTCTTGAAGGATTCAAGTACGTCACGGGCAAAGTGGTGTCCTTCTTCGACAGCCACATGGAGGTGAACGTTGACTGGTACGACACTCACAGTAACCGTTGCTATGCAGACCAAGTAAACTATGCTCTGTATTATTCGTTACGCTGCTATACTGAATCTAACAAACCCTAGTCGAAGGTCGCGTCAGTAACCCTTTGAACTGACCAATCAGAACACAGCTTACCAAATCGCCAAAGTTCGCACATTCGTTTGAACTTTTACCTCGAAAACATTTGTACGAGAACGATTCCGAATGTATTTTTCCGTACGATCGCTTCCGAGTGATACACATGGAGGACGCCGTTATTCACAACAGTAGGTAAATAGTTTCTGAAAATAGCGTTCGTCAATGTTCCAGGATGTCATCTTGCGGAAATATAAACTAAGAGTAACCATGTCATTAGAAACCCCTACGCGTATATATATACTGCAGGTCAAATGTCTGTGTTTTATGCGTGTTTTCGTTTGAGAGATCAGTGTTATCGACCGGGAAAGAGAACAATTTGTAAGCCCCGCCGAATCCTAAATATAGTAGCCGTTGTCTGATTGGTTAATTCCGTTCGACCGTCTCGCGTTTGATTGGACGGCCATAGGTCGCTCAAAGTTTAGCCGACGCGATCTTTTAATAGGGTTTGTATAGCAGTATAGCAGTGCAAGGAATAATACTGAGCCTAAGTTAACTTAGACAGCGTTGCTATGCAAACATTCACTGTTTCGAAAACACTCACTAACCCCGTGATGCAGTCATAGCTGACTTCGGCAACACTCACCGACGGATCGACGCTGTCATTACATCTGACTGCGATGTTATTGGGCCAGGAGTGTCTGGCCATATGCGTTTTTTCAGATATATATTGTTACAGTTCAAGTAAACCAGCCACTAATGTCGCTACGCTCGTACTGTGTCCCGGCAGCTTCTATCGGACATATGATAAGGGGCGTTAAACCAAGCCCTCTCTCGTACTAGGCTGGGCCTGACAACTCCGTTCTCTGTCCTCAGGCTTCAGCCTCTCCTGGTGGAGATCAAGAGGAATCGCTCCACGGTGGCCATGGGTCACCTGGACTACATCAAGGCAGACACCCTTCAGTATGACTTCGAGCCCGGCTACAAGACTAGATACGGATTTGATTGGCGACTCGTCTTCTTTGAAACGTTCTTCCGCAAGAACCAACAAGAGCTGAGGACCGAGACGGAATCTCTGCCGTGAGTTTTTGCATATATAGACTCTCCTGGGTCAACTGGGTACATTAAGATAACACCACCGTTTAGGTATAAGTAAAATAGAGAGTCTTCTTAGTTGGAAATAAACAAGGTAAATATAGAAAAATGAAGGAAACATTTCAACTTTGTATTCTTACCAAGAAATGGAAATGAAGGGGAAAACAGAATAGGTGCACTGCAGCACAGTGGAACATTGATGTGTTTTCCAAACTCATAATCTAAACACACTTTACTGGAATGGTTATTTCTTGTTCAACAGGGGCGTCGTGATGGTGGGTCCAGCCTTTGCCGTAGATGCCGATTATTTCCGTGAAATCGGAACATACGACAGCGGCATGGAGATCTGGGGTGGAGAGAACATAGAACTGGCCTGGAGGGTGAGTGAGGCATAGTGGAATTTCATAGACTGAACTGGCTTGGAAAGTGAGTGAGGCAGGGTAGGGGAGCTGTCTTTGAGGGTGAGACAGGATGAGGGAACTGGTTCTGACGGTGAGTGTGGCAGGATGAGGGAATTGGCTTTGATGGTGAGTGATGAAGGATAAGGCAACTGGTTTTGAGGGTGAGTGAGGCAGGATGAAGGAACTTTTGAGGGTGAGTCAGGATGAGGGAACTGTTTTTTGTTAGGGTGAGTGAGACTGGATCACGGAACTGGCTCTGACGGTGCGACATGATGAGGCAACTGGTTTTTAGGGTGAGTGAGGCAGGATGAGGGAACTGGCTTTGAGGGTGAGTGAGGTAGGATGAGGGAACCGGTTTTGAGGGTAAGTGATGCAGGATGAGGGAACCGGCTTTGAGGGTGAGTGATGCAGGATGAGGGAACTGGTTTTGAGGGTGAGTGAAGCAGGATAAGGCACCTGGTTTTGAGGGTGAGTGAGGCAGGATGAGGGAACTGGTTTTGAGGGTGAGTGAGGCAGGATGAGGGAACTGGCTTTGAGGGTGAGTGATGCAGGATGAGGGAACTGGTTTTGACGGTGAGTGAGGCAGGATGAGGGAACTTGCTTTGAGGGTGAGTGATGCAGGATGAGGGAACTGGCTTTGAAGGTGAGTGAGGCAGGATGAGGGAACCGGTTTTGAGGGTAAGTGATGCAGGATGAGGGAACCGGCTTTGAGGATGAGTGATCCAGGATGAGGGAACTGGTTTTGAGGGTGAGTGAAGCAGGATAAGGCAACTGGTTTTGAGGGTGAGTGATGCAGGATGAGGGAACTGGCTTTGAAGGTGAGTGAGGCAGGATGAGGGAACTTGCTTTGAAGGTGAGTGAAGCAGGATGAGGGAACTGGTTTTGAGGGTGAGTGAGGCAGGGTGAGGGAACTGGCTATGAGGGTGAGTGAGGCAGGATGTGGCGAGCGAAACCTGCAAAGTTTTTATTGGAATATGTTTGGAACAAACACGGTATGGGTTGTAACACGAAGACTGATATTTGTGAGATAAGGTTATATTCCTGAGATGATATGGTCCTCCCAAGATCAATCACGTACAAGGGGTAGGTCATCTGTTCAAATCATCGGGACCTGATATCAATAGTATGCGACTATCTAGAACAATGACACCTGTCGATGTCCCTCCCGCTCCCACAGGTGTGGCTTTGTGGGGGTCAGCTGCTGCACAGCCCCTGTTCCAAGATCGGCCATATCGCCCGCTCCCAGCCCTACTCGTTCCCAGCCGGGCGCTATCAGACGGAGATGCATAACTACAAGCGAGCAGTGGAGGTGTGGATGGGCGACTACAAGAAATATGTGTATGAATACTTCCCGTGCAATGAAGGTGAGGAGCGGTTTGTGAGACATTCGGTGTCAGAATACCTCAGTAAATGTAACATATGTTATACCTTTGGATTTCCTTGCAAAGTATCAATTTTAGTACTTTTGGAGGTTCCGTCGAGTCCGACAACTGGTAGTCTAGATCACGTACTCCTATGAAATTGTCAATTCCACAATATAATAATTACTTACACAACTATATATTCATGGCTTCTTTGATTGGCATTCTAGAAGTTGGGTAGATGAAGAATGAGTAGATAGTCGAAATGTCGCCTATACAGAATAAAGAAGTTCTATTATCCTCATTCTTCTTTATATCTTTATGTTTTTATATTTAAGACAGTTCATATTCCTCTTACAAGTAACCCACAATGTCTCATTTCTGACAAGGGCGGCGAAACAAGGGTGTATTCCGTCTTAAACAGACGTCGCTGAAAAAGACTGTTTGAAGAAAACTATTTAAAAACTTGGTTAATACTATTGTCTGCTCAGGTTCTAAATATGTGGTCCTTTGGTAGTTTTCGTGCATCCCCCACCATACATGTATATGCGTTGTTGACAGAGCCTCGACGCCGGGGATTTGAGTGAGCGCGTTAAACTGCGAGAGAGCCTCAAGTGTCATGATTTTGGATGGTTCCTTGACAACGTTTGGCCAGAGCTGTTTGCTTACGCCGAGAACGTCTTTGCCTGGGGAGGGGTGAGTAGTTGCCGGGGTGACTGTGGGCGGGAGATTGATGCTGGTACTCGGGGGACTGTGAGATTGAGCTGGTACCGGGGTGACTGTGGGCGGGAGATTGATGCTGGTACTCGGGGGTGAGTAGTTGCCGGGGTGACTGTTGGCGGGGCATCGGGCCTGGTACTCGGGGGTGAGTAGTTGCCGGGGTGACTGTGGGCGGGAGATTGATGCTGGTACTCGGGGGTGAGTAGTTGCCGGGGTGACTGTTGGCGGGGCATCGGGCCTGGTACTCGGGGGTGAGTAGTTGCCGGGGTGACTGTGGGCAGGAGATTTGATGCTGGTACTCGGGGGTGAGTAGTTGCCGGGGCTGACTGTAGGGCAGGAGATTGATGCTGGTACTCGGGGTGAGTAGTTGCCGAGGGTGCCGGGGTGACTGTGGGCGGGGCATCGGGCCTGGTACTAGGAGGTGAGTAGTTGCCGGGGTGACTGTGGGCGGGAGGGTTGATGCTGGTACTCGGGGGTTTAGTAGTTGCCGGGGTGACTGTGGGCGGAGATTGATGCTGGTACTCGGGGGTGAGTAGTTGCCGGGGTGACTGTGGGCGGAGATTGATGCTGGTACTGAGTAGTTGCCAAGTGACTCGGGCGTGAGTGGTAGTTGCCGGGGTGACTGTGGGCGGGAGATTGATGCTGGTACTCGGGGGTGAGTAGTTGCCGGGGTGACTGTGGGCGGGAGATTGATGCTGGTACTCGGGGGTGAGTAGTTGCCGGGGTGACTGTGGGCGGGAGATTGATGCTGGTACTCGGGGGTGAGTAGTTGCCGGGGTGACTGTGGGCGGGAGATTGATGCTGGTACTCGGGGGTGAGTAGTTGCCGGGGTGACTGTGGGCGGGGCATCGGGCCTGGTACTCAGGGGGTGAGTAGTTGCCAGGGTGACTGTGGGCGCGGAGATTGAAGCTGGTTCTCGGGAGTGAGTAGTTGCCAGTGGGTGACTGTGGGCGGGGAGATTGATGCTGGTACTCGGGGTGAGTAGTTGCCGGGGTGACTGTGGGCGGGGCATCGGGCCTGGTAGATAGGGTACTCGGGGTGAGTAGTTGCCGGGGTGACTGTGGGCGGGAGATTGATGCTGGTACTCGGGGTGAGTAGTTGCCAGGGGTGACTGTGGGCGGGGCATCGGGCCTGGTACTCAGGGGGGGTGAGATAGTGCCGCCGGGGTGACTGTGGGCGTGAGGGATTGATGCTGGTACTCGGGGTGAGTAGTTGCCGGGGGTGACTGTGGGCGGGAGATTGATGCTGGTACTCGGGGTGAGTAGTTGCCGGGGTGACTGTGGGCGGGGCATCGGGCCTTGTACTAGGGAGTGAGTAGTTTGCCGGGGGTGACTGTGGGCGGGAGATTGATGCTGGTACTCGGGGGTGAGTAGTTGCCGGGGGTGACTGTGGGCGGGAGATTGATGCTGGTACTCGGGGGTGAGTAGTTGCCGGGGCCGACTGTGGGCGGGAGATTGATGCTGGTACTCGGGAGTGAGTAGTTGCCGGGGTGACTGTGGGCGGGGCATCGGGCCTGGTACTATGGCATGAGTAGTTGTCGGGGCCTATTAGGGGCGGGGCTTCGGGCCTGGTAGTAGGGAGTTGGTGGATGAAGTAGGATGGGAAGAGGGCCCAACAATGCTGGGGTAAATATTGTAGTGTTGGCAGGCTGGGATGGGGTGGATGGACGGGAAGGGAAGGGGTGATATGGGAGGTGAGTAAGCGATTTGGATGAGGGGATACCGTTAAACATGGTACTTCAACATGATTCACGAGGGGATACCGTTGAACACAGTATTTGAACATGATTAAAGACAGCTTGAGAGGGATTAAAAACTGTTATCGTCATGCCTTCCATTGTTGGGAACAACGCTAATCAAATAGTATATTTTACAGCTAGAGAACCCCGACCTGAGGATGTGCCTGGATAATGACGAGTATTTGTTCCAAGCGCCCAACCCGCTCACCATCAAGCCCTGCACACAGAGCCTACCAGCGCAGGTCAGTGAAAGGCAATGATGGGCGTTTCCCGGAAGTGTTAGGGAGCTCTGTCTTATTGGTAGCTGTTGATCTTTGCTCACCGGTAGCAGTAGAACTGAGTTTAAGATTAGTCGTATCATTGCTGAAATATTTGTATGTAGGCTCCATCAACCAGATGTGACTGATAAGTAAGTGACATCTATCACACCCAGTGCTTCTTTCGCGTCTGGTCCGCCCGGAGAGCGGAAGGTCGCGGTTTCGATCCCCGACCGCGTCATACCAAAAGACGTTAAAATATGGTACTTGTTGGTCCCTGCCTGGCGCTCGGCATTAATGGGTACAACAAGGACTGGTCGGCTCGGAGTCAGTATAATGTGTCTGAGTGGGGTATTCATGCTTCACTGCGGCATGGTATCTCAGTGGGCTAGCACTATAAAACCAGCTTCAGTCTGGGCTAGTACAAGCAGCCGCACATACACATACACACGCATGCACGTCGTCATATGAGCGAAATTTTCTCAAGTACGACGTTAAACCCAATTTCACCTCACCTCACCTCACTTCACATCTTTCGCGTCTGACAACGGTTTGCGAAATATGAGGGTTTTAGGACGCGCAGAGTAGCCTCCCTTTGCTATCAAAACCAATCACGACAGCGTGCTTCGTGTGAGGAGGAAATTGTGCTTTTCTCAATGTTTTGTTTATTGGAGTAAATATACACTTGTTTAGTTGTAGCTGGTGTTAGAAGCAGCTTGTTCATACAGGTGTATTTAAGTCGCAGGCGTTGTGTTGCAACCTAATCAACTATATTTGGCACGTTTGCAATGAGTGTAGATTAGTTTGGGTTGTTGGCAGCGTGGGTCAGAGCTGGAGTCGTGTTCCCTCAGAAAATTGACCCTTAATTTGAGGGCAAATATGTAATCCACAAAGTGTATCACGCTGGCAAATTTTAGGGGTTGTTTTTAGCATAAAACCTCTTGGTGTTTTGGTTTTAGTAAGCAGACTGGTATGAAAACCGGTTTGCTTTGTCAACGCGAGACAATATTGCAGCTGATTTCTTATGAGTTAGATAGCTAAAACTGCAAAGGTGAGTGAGTGAGTGAATATTGCTTAACACCGCTTCAGCATTGTTGCAGCTATTCGCAGAAAAAAATTGCAAAGGAAGTTACCATAAAACGAAAACCCTCGCAGGTGCTAAGAGGTCTCTAGATTTTAAGGTAGAAAAACCGATACTAGGCCTCCTAAGTTGTACGTGAAATCGGGAGTTACTACGAGATAAGAAAGATTTGTAAACGTTGTCTGAAGCATTTGTACAGTTGCGAGGTGTGTTTTGTTTAATGCTGAGTTGCATTGCAGGGTTTCTCGTGGACGCACCGACGGCAGCTGCGGACCACCCTGCAGTGTGTCGTGGTACTGACAGAGGAGATGGACGTGGTGCCTTTTCTCCAGGACTGCATCGAGGGCCCACAGAAACATGGGACTACATACTGGTGAGACCTTGTGTGTTGGAGGGGATGAAGGAAACACAGGCATCTTGAACTAAGCAAAAGGGTCGGCTGAAGAAGGCCGAGGCCATTGGTAGGGGTGGGTGAAGTTGGCTGAGGTCAATGGATTGTGAGATGAAGTAAATTGAGGTCAATGAATGGTGGGTGAAGTAGACTGAGGCCAGTGGAATGTGGGATGAAGTAGGCTGAGGCCAGTGGAATGTGGGATGAAGTAGGCTGAGGCCAGTGGAATGTGGGATGAAGTAGGCTGAGGCCAATGGAAGTTGGGATAAAGTAGGCTGAAGCCAGTCTAAAGTGGGATGAAGTAGGCTGAAGCCAGTGGAAGTTGGGATAAAGTAGGCTGAAGCCAGTCTAAAGTGGGATGAAGTAGGCTGAGGCCAGTGGAAGGTGGAGTTAAGATGGTTGAGGCCAATGGAAGGTGGGATGAAGTAGGCCAATGGAGGGTGGTATGAAGTAGGCCAGTGGAGGATGGGATGAAGTAGGCCAATGGAGGATGGGGTGAAGTAGGCCAATAGTGGGTGGGTTTAAGTAGGCTGAGGCCAATGGAAGGTGGACTTAATTTGATTGAGGCCAATGGAGGGTGGGATGAAGTAGGCAAATAGTGGTGGGTTTAAGTAGGCTGAGGCCAATGGAAGGTGGACTTAAGATTGAGGCCAATGGAGGGTGGGATTAATTAGGCCAATGGAGGATGGGATGAAGTAGGCCAATAGTGGGTGGGATGAAGTAGGCTGAGGCCAATGGAAGGTGGACTTAATTTGATTGAGGCCAATGGGGGTGGGATGGAGTAGGCCAATGGAAGGTGGAATGAAGTAGGCCGATGGAGGGTGGGGTGAATTAGGCTGAGGCCAATGGAAGGTGGGATGAAGTTGGCCTCAGCCTAATTCACCTCACCCTCCATGGGCCTACTTCATCCAATGGAGGATGTAGATGAAGTAGGATGAGGCCAGTGGTATGTGAGATGAATGTTTCTCTATGCATCCGTTCATTGCCATGTCTGTATGTCTGAATGTGTCTCTATGCCTCCGTTCAATGCCATGTCTGTATGTCTGAATGTGCTGTAGTGTCTCTACGCTCACTGTTGCAGGACGGGATGTTGAAGCATGAGAAGACTGGTCTGTGTCTGGAGGTGATGACTGGGCCGAAACTGACTCTCCAGAAATGTGATCACAACAACAAAGGTCAAAAGTGGAAGTTCACTCATTATGACCCCTCTTTCAAAGACCGGGCGAGAACGGCAGCGAACATCACTCTCAACAAAGTGGTTCAGTTAGGGGCGGGTCCCGGATAGGGCACTAGAGACTCCGGGATAACACAGTGTGTTTTGACGTTGTACTTGCGGACATGGCCAGGTCGTGCATTCAGTACCCTGGAGGACGGAAGTCGGGGATCATGCCATGCCCGGCATCTCATGCAGTGTCTCAAGCCACAGTATGATGGAGTCATATATTGCAAAGATGCGAAGGAGGACTGCAACTCGAGTCGTATGGAGCCATTGTTAGACGGCACCCCTGTTGACATAAACAACAGACTGTCATCACGGTGCTGTGCCGCCATTATTGGTGGGATCCTTGAACATCACGCTGGTGTCAGGGAGCGATGTCGCCATTGTTGGACAAATATTTGGTACACCATGGCATCAACATTTTTGTGGGAGTGTTTTTATACATGCTTAAAGATGGGGAACACTTACTAAAACGATTCTAACTAAATGGTACGGTAATTTGCTGTGTGAGACGTCGTATTAATTACGAAATGAGACGTTTAAAATGATGTGAACGTCATGGTGCTATACACGAAGTGCTTTACAAACCATGGGACGGTATTGCAGCTATGAAATCCCTCGAAGTCATTGCATCGCACATCGAACAACTGGGGATATGGTTCTGCGCTTACCAACTGTCATAAATAGTCACAGCTAGCAGTTCATCATAAATGTTTGTGATCTGTTTTTAGATCTCACTGCCAAACACCTTTCAGTGGAGGAGTTTATCGACTTTCAACAGTCCCAGTGCCCGTCTAGTGCACTTGCACATTCCGTATAATGGCAGGGGGGTGGAGAGGGATTGGGCGGTATGTCTATAACAATGTGTTTATGATGGCATCATATATTGCTCAAATCAATAGGGCTCTTAATAGAGCTGAATTAAGGTTGCCATGGTACAGCTGTAGTGTTGCTGACTTAAGGTTGCCATTTTACAACTGTAGTGTTGCTGACTTAAGGTTGCCATGGTACAGCTGTAGTGTTGCTGATTTAAGGTTGCCATGGTAGAGCTGTAGTGTTGCTGACTTAAGGTTGCCATTTTACAGCTGTAGTATTGCTGACTTAAGGTTGCCATGGTACAGCTGTAGTGTTGCTGACTTAAGGTTGCCATGGTACAGTTGTAGTGTTGCTGACTTAAGGTTGCCATTTTACAGCTGTAGTGTTGCTCACTTAAGGTTGCCATGGTACAGCTGTAGTGTTGCTGATTTAAGGCTGCTTGGTAGAGCTGTAGTGTTGCTGACTTAAGCTTGCGATGGTACAGCTGTAGTGTTGCTGATTTAAGGTTGCCATTTTACAACTGTAGTGTTGCTGACTTAAGCTTGCGATGGTACAGCTGTAGTGTTGCTGATTTAAGGTTGCCATTTCACAGCTGTAGTGTTGCTGACTTAAGTTTGCCATGGTAGAGCTGTAGTGTTGCTGACTTAAGGTTGCCATGGTACAGCTGTAGTGTTGCTGATCTAAGATTGCCATGGTTCAGCTGTAGTGTTGCTGACTTAAGGTTGCCATTTAACAACTGTAGTGTTGCTGACTTAAGGTTGCCATTTTACAACTGTAGTGTTGCTGACTTAAGGTTGCGATGGTAGAGCTGTAGTTTTGCTGACTTAAGGTTGCCATGGTACAGCTGTAGTGTTGCTGATCTAAGATTGCCATGGTCCAGCTGTAGTGTTGCTGACTTAAGTTTGCCATTTTACAACTGTAGTGTTACTGACTTAAGGTTGCCATGGTACAGCTGTAGTGTTGCTGACTTAAGGTTGCCATGGTACAGCTGTAGTGTTGCTGATCTAAGATTGCCCTGGTCCAGCTGTAGTGTTGCTGACTTAAGTTTGCCATTTTACAACTGTAGTGTTGCTGACTTAATGTTGCCATGGTACAGCTGTAGTGTTGCTGACTTAAGGTTGCCATGGTACAGCTGTAGTGTTGCTGACTTAAGGTTGCCATTTTACAACTGTAGTGTTGCTGACTTAAGGCTGCCATTTTACAACTGTAGTGTTGCCGACTTAAGGTTGCCATGGTACAGCTGTAGTGTTGCTGATTTAAGGTTGCCATGGTACAGCTGTAGTGTTGCTGACTTAGGTTGCCATGGTTGAACTATAGTGTTGCTGACTTAATGTTGCCATGGTACAGTTATGGAGTTGCCCACTGTGGCTTAAACAACTCCGCTCACACGTTTTACTTAATTCTGAGCGGCCCCATGTAAGACGTTTTCCAGTGAGTGTATTTAGAATATTGACGTGCTCTGGTCCTCAGCGACGGGCATTTTTTATTTTGGTCCATTGCGGGATTTATCTGCAAAACATGTATGGGTTCAGTAATCACGTTTTGTAATTGAGCGTATAGGTTTACCAGTTATTACACATAATCTTGGAAACAGTTCTAACATGACAACAACCACATGGGACCTGTGGCATTGTTCTGTTTTAACATAAGTGTAGTCTGTCTCACAACCACTAATGCTTTCCCTTCACTCTAGTCCTGCCTGTAATGCAACAGCCCAAAATTTAGATCTTTCCCAATTACATCCTTTCGGAGCTCTTTTCCAGTGCAAGTGGAGTTTTTTTTATTCTTTCAAAATTATATGTTTTAAAAGACTAAACGTCAGTCTAACAGAAGATTTGCTATATATCTGAATGTAAGTCGGCTGCTGTACTTTGTTCACCACTGTTAACACTGTTTGCGTCAAGTTAGAGAATATGAAAACATCAGGGGCCGATCTAGGCATCCCCATTGCTCTCCCCACAGTGACGCTCCAGGAGACTGGATCCTTTTACCTTGCTTTGCCAGCTTTCTGGACCGTGGGAGAAGGGAATGTGTTATAATATACAAGGAGCAATACATATGCTTCACAATGTTGGTATGTACGAACTGTCAGGACATCCTACCTTCCTTTTATTGATCGACCTTCATTCTTTACAGGTTATTGATCGACTGCACACTGTTTTACGGTTTGTACACTGACATGCTTTGACATTCCCTTTACAGGTTAATCGGGACTGACTACACTGAGTGCACGCTGACTGTGACACTGAGTGCACTGTACACTGAGTGCAAGCTGACTGTACACTGAGTGCACTGCACTCTGACTGCACACTGAGTGCCCGATGACTGCTGACTGTACACTGAGTGCACTGAGACTGTGCACGCTGACTGTGAGTGCACGCTGACTGTACACTGAGTGCACGCTGACCGTACACTGAGTGACACTGACTGCACACTGAGTGCAAGCTGACTGTACACTGAGTGCACGCTGACTGTGCACTCTGCACACTGAGTGCACGCTGTACACTGAGTGCCGCTGACTGCACACTGTGCACACTGACTGTGCACGAGTGCTGACTGTACACTGACGCTGACTGTACACTGAGTGCCCGATGACTGTACACTGAGTGCACGCTGACTGTACACTGAGTGCGCGCTGACTGTACACGTAGTGCACACTGACTGCACACTGAGTGGAAGCAGACTGTACACTGAGTGCCCGATGACTGTACACTGAGTGCAAGCAGACTGTACACTGAGTGCACGATGACTGCACACTGAGTGCACAATGACTGTACGCTGTATGTATACTTGCTATACATTGTAAGCACACTCAATGCATATTGTACACTTGATGTACCTCGAGTGTACACTTGATGTACCCTGAATGTACACTTGATGTACACAAGATGTACACTGTACACTGATAGCTGCTTAGAACCTGACCTGCTCAGTAATTACTCGTTTTAGCTCCATCCATAAGCTCAGCATCTTCAGTGTGTATTTGTATCATGATGGTTTACGGTTATGTGATTATAGAATGAAGATTTATAGATTTATTGGATATACATCGGTTTACATTTTTCTAACTATACAATAATACATATGATTTTCGCTTATGTTGTTTTAACATATGATCATGATCATGAAAATAAAACAGAGATTGATAGCAGGTTGTTGCTGTACTGCCCCACACTGACAATGTGCGAGGTTTAACTATAGTTAGGCTTAAAACAAATGACGACTGTCGTGACACCAAAGTACCTTTCCCAGATAATATATTTTACTTTAGATTTTCAGATTGAATTATTATTTCATTTCAGCTTTCATATTTATGTGGTATAATGATAATTATGTGTCATTGCTATTTTCTACAATACCGAACAATATGATTCAGGGAACTAAACAAGTTCATCTGGAAAAGAGAAGTCTGTCGTAAACCTAGGCAGAATGATGGCATTCATTCCTAAAGACATGCACACGAATATAAATGTCAATACACGTGGGGTCAGAAGTTAATATATTTTCAAGCTTTTGTAAAATCGACGTTTGCACACGGGTCTTACAGGGTGTGATTGCCCTGCTATACATACGCAAGAGCATGACACAGGGGAAGTTCGGGAAGGTGACTGATTCCTAAAACACCGCTATACATATGTAAGAGCACTATACGGGGAAAGTTTGGGAAGGTGATTGCTTCCTAAAGCACTGCTATACATACCGAAGAGCGTGACACGGGGAAAGTTTAGGAAGGTGACTGTTTCCGAAATTCTCACTACCTACCTACGCAAGAGCATGACACAGGGAATGTTTGGGAAGGTGACTGTTTCCTAAAGCTCTGCTATACTTACGCAAGAGCATGACACAGGGAATGTTTGGGAAGGCGACTGTTTCCTAAAGCACTGCTATACATACGCCAGAGCGTGACACGGGGAAAGTTTTGGAAGGTGATTGATTCGTAAATTCTCACTATACCTACGCAAGAGCATGACACGGGGAAAGTTTGGGAAGGTGACTGTTTCCTAAAGCACTGCTATACATACCCAAGAGCGTGACACGGGGAAAGTTTAGGAAGGTGACTGTTTCCGAAATTCTCACTCTACCTACGCAAGCGCATGACACAGGGAAAGTTTGGGAGGTGACTGTTTCCTGCATTCTCGTTATACCTACTCCAGAGCATGACACGGGGAAAATTTGGGAAGGTGACTATTTCCTAAATTCTCACTATACCTATGCAAGAGCATGACACGGGGTAAGTTTGGGAAGGTGACTGTTTCCTAAATTATCACTATACCTGTGCAAGAGCGTGACACGGAGAAAGTTTGGGAAGGTGATTGTTTCCTAAATTCTCACTATACCTGTGCAAGAGCATGACACGGAGAAAGTTTGGGAAGGTGATTGTTACTTAAATTCTCGGCACTATACCTACGCAAGTTTGGGAAGGTGATTGTTTCCTTAATTCTCGACACTATACCTACGCAAGTTTGGGAAGGTGACTGTTTTCTGAAGCACCACTATACCTACGCAAGAGCGTGGCACGGGGAATGTTTGGGAAGGTGACTGTTTTCTGAATTCTCGCTTGACCTACGCAAGAGCGTAACACGGGCCTGTTTCGAAGGTGGCTGTTTGTCTTCGGTACATCAGAATACTGTACAACTACAGGAATCGTGATGTGTTGTAGTTCTGAGACAGACGCATCAACATCTGCTTTAGACAGTTGTATTTACAGGTATAGATAGTAACACTCGCATTTGTGGATATATAATGACTGCCATACATACACAATCAGTTCACCGTCACTGGAGTTCAATGTAGGCCGATGACGCGTTGTTCATGTGAAACTAGTACTTTGAAATGAAGAATGAAATTGATCATGTGTTGTAAACACTGACTGCGTGCCTCTTTATATATCCACGAGAAGGTAATACACCATTGCACCATTGAAACAAGGAAATAAATCCGACAATCTGTTGGCAAAGTGTCCATGTCCTTGTAGTCCGACAATCTGTTGGCAATGTCCCTGTACTCCGACAATCTGTTGGCAATGCCCTTGTAGTCCGACAATCTGTTGGCATCATACTATTCCACGCACGATGATTGGAGTCCACCACGTAATTCCACACAGAGTATCGCGCGCTTTAGACGAAAGGTCCGTGAACCAACATTGAGACATAGCGAGGATCATGATTATTAGAACGAGTTCAAATATTCCAACCTGTTATCCGTCGCTTAAGGCAAACCTCAGACCGGCAACACAGCCAAATCCTACAATGACCAGCAACACCTTTATGAGATGTTGTCTCCCGGACAGGTCTAACTTCAGGCACTCGAAGAAGGTAACAAACATAAAGGTTCCGCAAGCCATCGACTGCAGGAAGCCCGCGGCATATGCTTGACCCTCAGTACTCAGCCTGCTCTCCGTGATGGCGGTCCCCACGCCTGCTCCCAGAGGCGCCACACAAGAGAAGAAGATGAGATATAGTACTGCTGAGCGGGGGTTCGTGGCATGGGACTCTACAAAACTGAGACCCAGGCTGAACGCTACCAGAGCTTTGTGGAAGCTCATAGCCACCAGCAATGTCCACATTAGATCGGTACTAGTCTGTATACCTATCACAAAGCCATCAAACACTGTATGCAGAGACAATGCAATCAACAGGACAAAGGAGCGGAAGCTGTTGGTGGCGACTGGCTCTGGTTTACTGGAGGTATTGTTCTGCACTGAGACTTGGATGTCAGCCACTCCGCTGTCTAGTTTCGAAGAACTCTCGTCGTCACTGGAGTTGTTCAAATCTCCGTTACTGGCGTTGGACGTCAGCAGACCTTCACTGTCAGATTCCTCCACAGATCCGTAGCGAATGACGTGAGGGTTACTGTAATCTTTTTTGGCGACTCCAGGGGCTGGAGGATTCTTACTGTAATTGACAGTGACTGTGTTGTCGGACTTCACTGAGTGTTCTTTACACACTGTCAGAAGGTTCTCCGTCACATACATCATGAGGAAGCCGATTCCAATACACGCCTCAGCGACAGGATACTCAACGTCTGGGAAGGCACGTTTCATAGCTTTCCGTGCTTCGGGGAGAAGATGCACAAGACACGTGGCCAGAAATATTCCCCCGGCGAAACTCTGCAGCAAAGGTAACTTGTCGCCAGCAGACGTCTTCTTCTTTATGAGTTTCACGAGCAACAGAAAGGGGAGGACTCCGCCGAGGAAGGTGACGAGGAATATGACACATATTGACACAATCTTCACATACAGGGATTCCATCGTATCTGCATCAAGGTCAAGTCTCTGGAGACACTGAATGTATCCCTGCTTTGGATGGCCTGTACTGGGGGTTGTTCAGGCCAAGGGTTGTGCAGAATCCAAGCTCTAGACGTTCAACCACCCAGCGTCACATGCTCATATGATAACTGTTTGATATACTGACATCTGCGTGACGCGCCAAACAGTCCGCCCCATGTGATACAGTATCACCCTTATCGCTGAAGCCTATCTACTCTGTCCTAAATAGCGCAGCCTGATAACAAGTTACGTGCAGGTAAAATAACAATTGCACTGCTGAGATAATACTCGACTATCAATTGTGTCCATCCCTTTGAATGTGGCAGCGGGTTTTCGGCCAATTAAAGATAATTCAAAGTAAAATGAATGCATACATCTTCATACACATTCCTTAACATATGAAAAGTTACCTTCTTCGTTTAATCAAGTTGGAATAAGTGGCATTAGTGCTTTAGATAACCGGGCACATGCAATTTAGTTTACATCGAGTATACACTGACTGAAGCTGTCACGGTCGAGATGACCAAAACATTGTGTAGTGGTATTTCCGTTCACAATGCAGCTATTGTAAACTAATGCTCAAAAGAAACTATAATCCCCAAAATATTTCATAAATATTCACAAAAATAAAATGAAGTGATAAAACCATACTGAGCCATGACACACGTACAGACCCATCCTTTCCGGGAACAATCGGCAAAACAAGTTAAACAAGTTAACGATTCGCCTAAACGTCGCACAAAATCCAAAACAACTTTTTCTGATGTAACTCCAAATGCACGTGCATACTTAAGGTATAAAACAGCCTACGCGACACGTGAGCAACACTGTAGTAAAACGAACACAAAAAATATGCCACGTTTGAGGCAAATCGAAATAGTGAGAGCTGCCGGGGCCTAACAACGAGATATCCACACCGTGATTGCCAGAACCTTCTGCTGCACCCGAGCAACTGTCATCAGACTGATGCAACGACTAAGATAAACAGGCATTACGTCAGACAGGCATAGGAGTGGTCGACCACGTGTGATAACGCTCGGTAATGATCGCCACTTCCGGACATTTCATCTGAGAAATCGTTTTGTAACGGCGACGTCAGTGGAACGACTTCACTAGGACACCGTATCAGTCGACATACAGTGTACCAGTGGCTAAGAGAACATGATATTCGAGCACGTCGACCCTACCGCGGAGTGCATCTGACTCTTCAAAATCGACGTCGTCGATTGACACTGGCCAGGACAGTTCGACGTTGGCAGATGCGTGATTGGCGGCGTGTGATGTTCACCGACGAGAGTAGGTTTTGCCTGTACAGTAATGACGGCCGACCTCTTGTTTACAAACGAGCAGGCGAACGTTTAGCTCCGAATTGCGTTCACCAAGTCCGAAAGTTTGGAGCCGATGGCGTGATGGTGTGGGAAGGGATCTGCGGCGATCTCTAAACGAATCTTGTGATTATCCATGGCAACCTCAATGCTCAAAGGTACAGGGATGAAGTTTTGCGACCAATTGCGTTGCATTTTATCCAGCAAGAAACACGTGGCATTATCTACCAACACGAGAACTAAATCAGTGTACATTTGCTGTAGAGTTACTCTATTGAAATTAAACGCATGTTCATTTATAAATGCTTTTGTTTTCTTTTCAAGTTTATTCAAGCACACTGTATACTTTCTTTTGGGCACTGATTGTTAATCGTGAGTCTCCTGGACCCCATCAGGTTGCAACATCTTACCATGTCCATTGAGTTAGTAAAACATGACTGTCCACATTAACGAGGTTGTCACTGACATTTGGATGAATCTATGAGTGAGTGACACTGAGTTTTCCGAGAAGACTACACTGGACTAGAGGTGAGTGAATTTAGTTTTACACCGCACTCAGTAATATTCCGGAGGTCTGTAAATAATCGAGTCTGGACCAGACAATCCAGTGATCAACATCATGAGCATCGTTCTCTGCAATTTGGGATACGATGACATGTGTCAAACAAGTCAGCGATTCTGACCACCCGATCCTGTTAGTCGCCTCTTAGGGGGCTAGACGTAAACACTTTAAGGCAGTGGAGTTATAATGGCACTGTCAAATTATTTAGCAGTGGTAACTGAAATAAAGTGATAATAGTCACCTTTCGGGGATTGAGTCTCATCCGGGTTTCGAGCCTACTCTCTCTTACCGTTGTGTGGGTTAGAAACCTGACGGGACTCAACCCTAAGAGTTCTAAAATCTGTACGTTACTGAGAAAGTGTAATCCTTAATATAACAAATGTTACATTTGAACATGTTCGAGCTTTGCATAGTAAATTAATAACAGTGGCCAGCTTCCAAAACAAGGCTATGGTTTATATCCAGAGTGACAGTTGTGATCATCACACAAATGAGAGAGACATGCACTGTCCCACATATATGTTCTAAATGATACCTCCTATATCAATGTTGGATTTGTCTTTGCTGTTAGAAGATTCCCCGCTGCATTTGATCCCCCAAAACATGTAAATACAGTAGCTTCCACACCACTGTTTACACAATATAGTAGTACAGTCCTGACAAATAGTTTCACTGAAACACAATGTTAAGAGTTTCCACTGACTCATAACAAAAACAATACAATGCTTATACAACCTCGCCTTGGAAAACACTGCACTGCCTTACATCACCCGGTCAGTACTGTGTCCAACAATGCCTGTGAGCGCAGCGTCATGGGCGGTGGGTGCTGGGTCTGTTTTGTCCACGATAGTGCACAGGGCAATGTTAATGTGGGAAGCCGCTACTTTCAATGCAAAATCAAAATGTTTATTCATGTATTGTGGTGTATTTATTGATATTTCTGTTGTGGGTGTTGCTTCCATAACATTGACACTTGGGAACATCGGAGCCATGAAGCACTTCCACCGTGCACATCCCATTGAACCCTATGTCAGATACTAGCCACAGACCCAGCGGAACAGGAGGCTGCCTGCTGAAAAATCGATATGATTGGTTGCAGACTTCGACCACGTGATCATCATGTGACATGCCCAGTGCCGACTTCCAGGACACGAAATGTGAGCACGATGCCGGCCAGATATAATTACTGGTCTGAAAGGTATTTCTTGGTTTTCATCACCCCTTGTAATTACAGGTTGTGTAGGAATCAGACAACTATGTCAGGCGTGTTCGGACTGACGGGCTAGTTCCCTACTTGTAGCACAAGCCTAGTTATTGTTGTATGCCAATCCGGCGGCTTCCTGTTTGGCTGGTTATCGATCTAACTCCATTTACAGATCTGTTGGAATTCACTAGACCTTTAATACCAATAGCTCTCCAGACGTTGGGAACAGATAGGTAAGACATACACTTTTTGTAACTTCATTCTACATAATATTTCCACGATTCATGCGTATCGATTATTGAACCAGTGGACGATATGTCGCTGCATGGTGTTTCGGCCATAGCGGTATGTCCATTGACTATATACCAGGAACACCGCGGTGTAAGTCACACACTAATACATGGTGTACATAACAGTGTCAATATGACGTCACCTGGTCAGCACACCCCTGCCTCTATGTACGCGTGCATCCATGTGTGCTGCAGGCTCCGGTTTCGTTGAGATGTGGCACAAAGGGATTTGCCCGGCTTCTTCTACCGGTGAACTCACGATAGACGTGTCTGATCTAATCATTGATCACTTTGATAAATGGACATACCATACAAACAACACAACAGATACAAGCCTCTCAACAGATGGTCAATGAATTGCGTCAGTTCGTGTCATGAGTTTACGGGTTTTCGCACCTTTTCATGCTGAACAAGTTTGGAATGTACGGAGTATCTAATTGTCAAATCACGCATGTGTAAGTTTTACGGAAAATAGTTTTCTTCCTTATGAATAACTAATAATATCATTCATTATCACAGAACAGTATTTTGTATGGGCATTTTGTAATGTTTCGAAACCATCCGAAATAAAGAACGACGATTAACAAATACTTTTATCCTACGCGGTTATATTTGATTACAGTGTGTATATCGTTTTTATTCCAACCTCTCCACACAAATCGATGACGTTGACGAGTAGGGGATACCTTACAGCCTCGGAGACGTGCCGTGCAGGCGGTGAGTCATACCGCGCGTGTCACACTAGACTGACATCGTCTTCCGTGCTCGGCACACACGCAGATCTCACGCCAACAACCGACACTCACACACACAGATCTCACTCCGACAACCGACACTTACACTCACACAGATCTCACTCCGACAACCAGAGATCTCACACGACAACCGACAATCACACAGACTCGGTAACAAGTACACCCACATGCATAAACACTGTTAAACGTGCAACCCTAAAACACCAACACTGACATGTGTTCGACTGGTCCTATACTGACAAACATGTCTCACTGGTCCCAAACAGACATACAGACATCTCTCACTGGTTCTAAACAGACATGCAGACATGTATCACTGTCCTATACAGACACACAGGCATGTCTCACTGGTCCTAAACAGACATGTAGACATGTCTAACTAGTCCTATACAGTCACACAGACTTGTCTCACTGGTCCTATACTGACGTACAGATGTGTACCACTGGTCTTACACTGACACAGACATGTCACACTGGTCCTATACAGACTGGAATCGGGTGGTCAGTCTCGCTGGCCTGGTTTACACATGTCATCGGTTCCCAATTGCCCAGATCGATGCTCATGTTTTTTATCACTGGTTCGTGTGGTCCAGACTCGATTATTTACAGACCGCCGTCATATAGCTGGCATATTGCAGCGTAAAACCAAACTTACTCACAGTGTCCTATACAGACATACATACATGTCTCACTGGTCCTATACAGACACACAGACATGTCTCACTGGTCCTATACAGACACACAGACATGTCTCACTGTCCTAGACATACAGACACACAGACATGTGTCTCACTGGTCACTGGTCCCTAAACAGACACACAGACATGTCTCACTAGTCCTATGACTCACAGGCATCTAACTGGTCCCCTATACTGACGTACAGATGTGTACCACTGGTCTTACACTGGCACAGACATGTCTCTCAATGACACACAGACATCCTATACAGGCACACACAGACATGTCTCAATGGTCCCTATGTCTCACTGGTCCTAAGCAGACACACAGACATGTCTCAATGGTCCTATACAGACACACAGGCATGTTTCTCACTGGTCCTAAACAGACACACAGACATGTCTCACTTGTCTTATACTGACACACAGGCATGTCTCACTAGTCCTAAACAGACACACAGACATGTCTCAATGGTCCTATACAGACATGCAGATACGTCTCACTGGTCCTATACAGACACACAGACATGTCTCAATGGTCCTATACAGACACACAGACATGTCTCACTGGTCCTAAACAGACACACAGACATGTCTCACTGGTCCTAAACAGACACACAGACATGTCTCACTAGTCCTAAACAGACACACAGACATGTCTCACTAGTCCTAAACAGACACACAGACATGTCTCACTAGTCCTAAACAGACACACAGGCATGTCTCACTAGTCCTAAACAGACACACAGACATGTCACACTAGTCCTAAACAGACACACATACATGTCTCACTGGTCCTATACAGACACACAGACATGTCTCACTGGTCCTATACAGACACACAGACATGTCTCACTAGTCCTATACTGACTCACAGGCATGTCTAACTGGTCCTATACAGACACACAGATATGTCTCCACTGGTCTTATGATGACACATAGGCATGTCTCACTTGTCCTATACAGACACACAGACATGTCTCACTGGTCCTAAACAGACACGTAAACATGTTTCATTGTTGCTATACAGACACACAGACATGTCTCACTGGTCCTATACTGACTCACAGGCATGTCTAACTGGTCCTATACAGACACACAGACATGTCTCCACTGGTCTTATGATGACACATAGGCATGTCTCACTTGTCCTATACAGACACACAGACATGTCTCACTGGTCCTATACAGACACACAGACATGTCTCCACTGGTCTTATGATGACACACAGTCATGTCTCACTTGTCCTATACTGACACACATACATGTCTCACTGGCCCTACACTGACGCACAGACACGTCTCATTGTTCCTATACAGACACACAGGCATGTCGCATTGGTCCTATACAGACATACATGCATGTCTCACTGGTCCTATACTGACACAGACATGCACCACTGTTCTTACACTGATGCACAGAGATGTCTCCCCGGCCATAATTATAGGAACGTCAGGCACTGACAAAGTCGTATTTGAAGTAAACTTCTGTGTTTCATTATATGAATGCAGATGACAAAGCACACTTTGTAGTTGATGTTGCTGTTTCTGTTCCTTGGTAACGATAATGGCTTTACAAATGATCTGATGTAGCATTTGCAGGTTGCTCTTTTTCAAATTTTCCACAACAAAACGGCAGTGTTTGAGCAATGTCTTTCATTAAAGTTCGATACTTGTACACAACTTGAAATGCAAACAGTGCTTTCGAGGACATGTTTGAAACACTGCAATAATAATCTGCTAACTGCACACTGACTACTGGACAATACTGGAGAATACTGGACATGATGGTCGCTAGTGGACACGAGGGCATATAGTGCCGTCTTTGGACACGAGGGCCAATAGAGGACACGAGGACTGACAGGGCCGCTACTGGATACGAGGGCTGCTACTGGGCACTAGGGTCGATACTGGGCACTAGGGTCGCTACTGGGCGCTAGGGTCGCTACTGTTTACGGGGGTCTCTATTGGACACGAGGGACGCCACTGCACAAGAGGGACGCTACTGGACATGACTACCACAACTGGACACAGGGGCCAATACTGGACAAGATGGCTGATAGGACCACGACTGGACACGACGGGTACTACTGGACATGGGAGGCACTACAGGACACGAAAGACAATACTGGACACAAGGACTTATAGGGCCACGACTGGACAAGAGGGCCTTTACTGGACACAAGGGCCACTAGTGAACAGGAGGGTCTCTACTGGACACTAGGGCTTCTACTGGACACGAGGGTCTCTACTGTTCACGATGGTCTCTACTGGACACTAGGGCCTCTACTGAACAGGAGGGCCTCTACTGGACACGAGGGTCTCTACTGGACACAATGGCCACTACTGAACAGGAGGGTCTCTACTGGATACGAGGGCCACTAGTGAACAGGAGGGCCTCTACTGGACACGATGGTCTCTACTGGACACAATCGCCACTACTGAACAGGAGGGTCTCTACTATACACGAGGTCTCTACTGGACACGAGGGACTCTAATGGACACGAGGGTCTCTAATGGACACGAGGGATGATGCTGAACACGAGGGTCTCTACTGGACAAGAGGGTCTCTACTGGACAAGAGGGATTATACTGGACAAGAGGGTTGCTACTGGACAAGATGGACGCTACTGGGCATGATGTTGACATGAAGAGGGCCGATAGTGGATAAGAGGGCTGATAGGGCCGCTACTAGGCACTGGGTTCGCTACTGTTCACGAGTGTCTCTACTAGACAAGAGGGACACTACTGGGCACGATGACCGCTACTTGAAAAGAGGGAGGCTACTGGACAAGACGGACGCTACTTCACATGAGGTCCGATGCTGGACACGAGGGTCTCTACTGGACAAGAGGGATGATACTGGACACGAGGGCTACTACTGGACATATTGGCCACTACTGGACACGAGGGACACTACTGGGCAAGAGGGATGATACTGGACACGAGAGTCAATACTGGACACAAGGGCCTCTACTGTACACGAGGGACACTACTGGACACGAAGGCTGCTACTGGACACGAGGGACACTACTGCACACATGGGCCATTACTAGACACGATGGCCACTGCAGGACAAGAGGGCCGCTACTGGACACATGGGCCACTACTGGACACGAGGGACCCTACTGGACAAGAGGGATGATACTAGACACGAGGGGCAATACTGGACACAAGGGCCGCTACTGGACACAAAAGACAATAATGGACACGAAGGTTGCTACTGGACACGTGGGCCGCTACAGTACAAGAAGGCCGCTACTGGACATAATGTCCTCCCTTGAACAGGGCCGATAGTGGACACAGGGGTCACGACTGGACAAGAGGGCTGACATGGCCGCTATTGGGCGCCAGGGTCGCTAGTGTTCACGGGAGTCTCTACTGGAGAAGAGGGAAACTACTGGACACTGGACAAGAGGGACAATACTGGACACGAGGGACGCTACTGGGCACGGTGGCCTCTACTTGATACGCCGGACACTACTCGACAAGAAGGCCGATAGGTCCCCTACTGGGCACGAGAGTTACTACTGGACACGAGGGCCGCTACTGGACATGAGGCACACTAACTTGGCATCGGATCCTTCTAGACGCGGGAGTCCACCCAACGACGAGACCAGTTCGAATGGCAAGATGTAATGTGACCTTGTGAAACTCCCTATGTGCGACGTGGTATAGATGTTCTGTGTGATGACCTAAATACAGAGGTGTATGACGCTATTTCTGTCGTCGTATGCAACCTCTGTATGATATCACGTATGACGCAGTATATAATGATTTTTTGCCGTTGCATATGACGTGTGTGTTGTATATGTAACGTTGTATTTGCTGATGTTGTTTATGACGTATATGGTTTTGGTTCACGTATATGACAATGATATGTGCGATGTCTATGATATGTATGACATTGTTTTTGACAATACATGTGAAGTGTATGGGTTTGTTTTACGAGCGTGTTGTCTATGACGTGAACGACATTGTGTTTGGCGATGAAGTGGGTGTTTTTGTTTGACGTGTATGACAGTGTGCGTTTTGTATAAGGGTGTTTGACGTGTGCGTTGCCAATGATATGTGCGGCATTGTGTTTGACAATGTGTGTGGTGTCTAAGGGTTTGTGGACGTGTATTTGTCTATAACTTGAGCGATATTGTGTTTGACGGTGTATGTGAAGTGTATGCGTTGTCTATGGCGTGAGCGATATTGTGTTTGACAGTGTATGTGTAGTGTATGCGTTGTCTATGACGTGAGCGATATTGTGTTTGACAGTGTCTGTGAAATGTATGCGATGTCTATGACGTGAGCGATAGTGTGTTTGACAGTGTATGTGAAGTGTATGCGTTGTCTATTACGTGAGCGATATTGTGGTTAAAGTACACTTGTAATGTCAATGCCGTTATCTCCGACAAATGTTTGACGAAAATGATGTTGCATTAAACTTTGAGTATAATGTGCCGTTTTATTTGTTCGTATGGATTAGGGTAGGGTGTTGAATAACATGCTGTGAATAACGTTGTATATGTAGTGGTATTCGAGGTGTTTAACCGTAAATACCGTGCAGGATGTGGATATGTGACGGATGTTGCGACGGTTGTTGTCTCGCATGTTGTTAGGACGGCGTTTAGGATTTTGTGACAGATGTTGCGTCGGATGTTGCGACGGTTGTTGTGTGGAATGTTGTGTAGGATGTTGTTTGGGATGTTGTGATTGCTGTGATGTTATGTCAGATGTTGTTATGGATGTTGTGTCGGTTGTTGCATTTAATGTTGTAACGGATGTTGTGGCGAGTGTTGTGGCGGTTGTTGTGCTTGATGTTGTGTTGGATGTTAAACGGATGTTGTTATGGATGTTGTGTCGGTTGTTTCATTTGATGTTGTAACGGATGTTGTGGCGAGTGTTGTGGCGGTTGTTGTGCTTGGTGTTGTGTTGGATGTTAAACGGATGTTGTTATGGATGTTGTTGCATTTGATGTTATGATGGATGTTGTGTCGGTTGTTGCGCTTGATGTGTGTCGGAAGTTGGACGGTTGTTGTGTCAGATATTGTGTTGGATGTTGTAACGGATGATGTGACGGATATTGTGACGATGTAATGAATGTTGCATAAGATGTTGTGATAGATGTTGTGTCCGATGTTGTTTCCGATGTTGTGACAGTTGTTGCATTTGATGTTGTGACGGATGTTGTGTCGGATGTTGTGTCGGATGTTCTGTCGAGTGTTGTGGCGGTTGTTGTGCTTGATGTTGTAACGGATGTTCTGTCGAGTGTTGTGGCGGTTGTTGTGTCGGATGTTGTGTCGGATGTTGTGTCGGATGTTCTGTCGAGTGTTGTGGCGGTTGTTGTGCCTAATGTTGTAACGGATGTTCTGTCGAGTGTTGTGGCGGTTGTTGTGCTTGATGTTGTGTCGGATGTTGTGTCGGATGTTCTGTCGAGTGTTGTGGCGGTTGTTGTGCTTGATGTTGTAACGGATGTTCTGTCGAGTGTTGTGGCGGTTGTTGTGCTTGATGTTGTGTCGGATGTTGTGTCGGTTGTTGCATTTGATGTTGTGACGGATGCTGCCCTTGATGTTGTGTCGGATGTTGGACGCATATTGTGATGAATGTTGCGTAGGATGTGTCAGATGTTGAGATGGATGATGTGTCGGTTGGATGTGCTGGATGTGGTGTCAGATGTTGTGACGAATGTGTTGGAAGTTTTGTCAAATGTTGTGACTAATGTGTTGGATATTGTGTCAGATGCTGTGTCGGGTGTTTTGTAGGATGTGTATACTGCTGTCTCTGATTTTTTCCCTTCTTCTTCTAGAGTGGCTGCCACTGACAGCTGAAACATGTCAACACCTTCGCCGTCCAAGTCGACACAAGCATCACACAAAACACGACGTCGTCACAAGTCGGGCTACGTGGACGACTGGCAGTCGGGTAAAGACTTCTCGGAAACCAATCTTCACATGCTGGAGACCGAGTCCCTCACTGACCTCAGCTTCCGAGTTGGTGAGGAACGCGAGACCGTCAAAGCTCATAAATATATCTTAGTGAGTCGCAGCTGTGTATTCAACAGGATGTTGTGTGGCCCCATGCCCGAGAAGAAGGAGGTGGAAATCCCGGACATTGACCCGGCTATATTCAGGAGTCTCATCAGGTAATACCTGCGCACAACACAACACGCACTCAGCTGTACCGTGTACAGACAAACCGCACCCACTTACACACGTGGTTTCTTTTAGAACATTTGAATTGAATCAGAATCATATGTCATGGCAGACAGGTGTGGTATGTTTCAGTGACTAGACAGGTAACCCATTTACACACCTGGATTTATTGCTCCTGTGTTGATACAAGACTTCCTGATCAAGCGTAACTATTCAACTCACTGCTTTTCTTCTAATGCTAAATTACATACACATGAAAATACCAATTCTTGAGACTGCATTACCTCATTTTACATACGATGGTGCGCGTTCGATAGTTAACTGGCATGTGTTGCCTCTGATCGCTACATTTGATCTATATATGATATATCATAGAGAGGAAGCATCTTAGACTTTCATCTTGTCATATACTCCTCACAAAAAGTTAAGCAACACAAATTTGTATTCTCATTAAATTTTCATTTATTGAATTTGCAAATCATGGAATGATGCAATAGAAAGGTGAAACATGTCCACGCGATTAACAATATGAAATGAAATGGTTTTGAGCAATAATAGACTTACAAATCATCAAAATCATGTACCCGTGAAACAGTCGTGCAAAATGTGCTGCATTGATGGAGCAAAATGTTAACTTTAAGATTCAAGTCAGTTTTGGACAGGGAAGCAGTGTTCAGTAACGCGTATGACCACGATGAGCACAAATGCAAGCTTCTACACGGCTTTGCATTGACCAAATGAGCCTTTAAAGTTGCTGTTGTGGAATGTTCTGCCATTCTCTCTGTAACGCCTGCTCAAGGTCATCCAGAGTCTGGGGGTGAACATGGAGACCGTAAAAACGACTTCCAATAATGTCCCAAGCATGTTCAATGGGATTAAGATCAAGTGACCTTGCAGGTCAGTCCATATGTGTGATGTTGTTGATCTAAACAACATCGTTAACAACACTTTCTCGGGTAGTATCATCCATGGACGGGTATTATCATCCATAAAAATGAAGTAAGTAACCGCGTGTTGTTCAGGGGAATGATTACAGGTAGGTTTACACCGATCTGGGTAAATGCGTGAAGAGTGGAGCACATTCATGTCACACATTTTGCATGTTGTTTCTGAGGGTGGTTGTATTCGGGTGATGTCGTCAATGTTGTCAGATTAATCAATTTGACAGTCACTAAAGGTTATTCTTTGAAAATATTTGTTGCTTAATTTTTTGTGAGGAGTATATATAATCCACATATCTCTCTAGGTTCTTGTACACGAATGACGTCACCATCACACCAGACAACGTGATTGGTCTGTTGTACTCCTCCAAGAAGTACAATGTCAGGAGTCTGGAGCAGCGGTGCCTCCAGTTCTGCGAGATGTCACTCACCGCTGACAATGCATGTACCATCCTCCAGCAGGCTTGCCTATTTGACGAAGAGGGGCTCCAGGAGAAAGCTATGGATGTCATCAAGCGAGAAGCAAAGCAGGTTCTCCAATCCGAGAGCTTTCTGGAACTGAGCCACGAGTGTTTGGACAGGATCCTTGCTAACGATGACCTCAAGGCGGAAGAGGACCTTATCTTCGGTGCTGCCATCCAGTGGGCGGAGGCCGAATGTAAGCGACAAGAAAGGGACGTAACTCCTGCCGAAAAGCGAACTGTATTAGGTCAGTCACTTTATCTTGTAAGGTTCCCGTTAATGAGCCAGAAACTTTTTGTCGAGAAGGCTAGAGGTGCGGGGGTGTTGACGGATAGTGAAAAAGTAAAAATATTAGAACATTTTACCTTGACGGAACTCCCGGTCGAACCATTCTGCACAAAGAAAAGAAACTCATTGAAGCCTATTCGCTCAATCGAAAGATTCGGATCACGCGGCAGGTGGACAGGAGCCAATCCAGTGACGGATGCCATTACGGTGTCATGCAGTAAGACCGTCAAGCTGCTGACATTTCTGTTGTTCGCGCCAACCAGATCCGGAAGCGGAACACTCTCCGTGCTCATCTCCATAGAAGACAAGGAGCAGAAGGTGATCCTCCACCATTGTTGCGACCGCGAGATCTCCACAGGAGATGATCAGTTCAAAGTCATGCTGCCCGCGTCTATCCTTCTCCACCCTGACACCAACTACAGCGTCAGTGTCACCATCAAGGGGCCAAGCAGGTACTGGGGCATCATGAACGGCTTTTCAGAGGTACACGATGCAGACGGGGACGTGACATGGAAGATTTCCCATAACTCCAATAGTTCCTTCTATAACAGCGTCACAGAGGGTTATATATCTGGGATGCACTTCATAGTGGAGCCGTGAAGGAACAGCTTCAGGTGATGCGTCAGTACTATCATTTACACACCGATGATATTAAGTAAGAGGTCACATCTCTTCCCTTTATAGTGTATGGTGACCCTTTGCTCTGAGTATTGTTGCTGATTTGACATTCCTTGAACGTGATCTAAATCACTTTACTTACTTGTGTGGTGTTACACCAAGACCTGCTTTGCTTCCAGCTGTGTTCAGTGTAGGTGCAATCTTGGTAAACCAGGGTGATTTTACAGTGCTACTCCTGTGGGTGCATGGTTCATCCGAGGTTACTGTTGACTCCCGTACTTAGTTGCTGTGCATGTCATATGGGCAGAGCGGGTCATGCAACAATCATTTGTGATGCAGCAATTTTGAGCATTTATGCAATGATATAATTATTTTGTAATTTATCTCTCTAACGATATATTTTCTGTTAGTATTTCACCGCAGTGATATTTGTGGATGATGAATCTTTATTTGCCTATTTTATACCTCAAGCTGTGATTACTTGTTGTGTGATGCTGATATGCAGAACAGGACTTTTACATGTTGCGGTACCTGCAAAGATTGTATAAAATGAGCACAGCGCTAACGGCATTATGTTACACTATAACACGGTATAGAATGTACACTATACAACGGTATATATAGGTGCACCACATGCACTGTTATATTATGTTTTATACCTAATGTAACGGTATGTGTGTGAAAATGAATAGCGGCGTATATGTTACATGGGATGAGTAAAGTCTTTAGTTTGTAAAATGATTAATTCACTCACAAATTATTTAAAGCTATCCATTTTATAGACTGGTACATGTTACAGATTGACTGACGTCATGCATTCTACAAATAGACTGAAACATGAAATCATCTTTTGATAAAACAAATTAAAATTAACGATTAGTCATTCTCCTAGATGATAGTTAGTGACTCTCCTTGGTGACGATTAATGAGTGTTCTTGGTGATGATTAATGAGTAGCCTTGGTGACAATTCCTGATTCTCCTTGGTGACGATTAATGAGTCTCCTTGGTGACGATTACTGATTCTCCTAGATGATAGTTAATGAGTAGCCTTGGTGACAATTCCTGATTCTCCTTGGTGACGATTAATGAGTCTCCTTGGTGACGATTACTGATTCTCCTAGATGATCGTTAGTGATTCTCCTTGGTGACGATTAATGAGTAGCCTTGGTGACGATTACTGATTCTCCTTGGAGATGATTAATGATTCACCTGGGTGATGAGTAATGATTCACCTGGGTGACGAGTAATGATTCTCCTGGGTGACGAGTAATGATTCTCCTGGGTGACGAGTAATGATTCCCCTTGGTGATCATTGATATATGACGAAGAGGGCAAGACGTTAAGTCTTTGTTTAGATAATATGAATCAATCTGTACATGAATCATTCCCATTTTTCAATCATTTTACAAACTGGCTGTAACATCAACAGATGTGAGCTCATGTTCACAGTATAATATTTACTTGAATTTGAGAGCCTGTTACTCAATTCCTTGACCGTGACTCAAGTGCGATTATTTAGTTCCTGTTTCAAAGATAATTATTTTTCTCATGGATCTTCTTCCTTGGAAGCAGCATTATTTTACCAAAGGTGACATGTTTCTTACGACTGTATATACCCACAACACGGCCAAACAGGAATTCAGCTAGGACCTAGTCAGTGATATTTTTTTATGGTTCATGTATCTTTTTCAACTGATATATTTTGTTTATGTGAAAGATAACAGGTAGTTACGTGAAGCAGCAGTTGGACACACCAGGTGGGAAACTCCAACTAGAGGCATGTTCATCTTATCGTTAGTTTATTTAGTATCAACTTCAAGAATTTGTAGTTACTTTCTTAAACTTCAGGTGAGTGTTTTGAAAACACACTGTTTCACTGTACCTATCAGCTTGATGATGCTGTTTGTGAAAACATCGACATTTGTACATGACGAGGTCGACAACTGTTGCTAGTAGATATCGTTCGTCACGTGAAAGTCTGTTGGTTGGTAGTGGTCATTGTCTCTGTGTCGATAGTGTTGTTTTTGTCAGAACGAATGGATTCATCTCATCAACTCATCAACATATAGCGTGTCACACCACCAACATATAGCGTGACACACTATCAACATATAGCTTGACATATAGCGTGACACATCCATCAATCATATACACCATCAACATATAGCTTGACGACACTGACACACACATCAACATATAGCGTGACACCATCAACATATAGCGCGTAACACCATCAACATATGACACTGACACACCATCGACATATAGCAAACATTATATAGCGTGACACACCATTAACACATAGCAACACACCATCAACATATCGTCTGACACACCATATACATATATCAACACACACATCAACATATATAGTTTGACACACCATCTTGACACATATAGTCCTGACACACCATCAACATATCAGCATATAGCGTGACACAACCATCAACATATAGCGTGACACACTATCAACATATAACGTGACACACCATCAACATATAGCGTGACACACCATCAACATATAGTCTGACACAACATCAACATATCGTCTGACACACCATCAACATATAGCGCGTCACACCATCAACATATAACGTGACACATCATCAACATATAGTCTGACACACCATCAACATATAGCGTGACTCAACATCAACATATAGTCTGACACACCATCAACATATAGCGTGACACACCATCAACATATAGCGAGTAACACCATCAACATATAACGTGACACAACATCAACATATATAGCTTATAGCACATCAACATATAGTCATCAACATATCGTCTGACACACCATCAACATCAACATATAGCGTGACACACCATCAACATATAGCGTGACACACTATCAACATATACCGTGACACACCATCCACATATAGCCTGACACACCATCAAACAGCTGCGACTTTTTGCGTGACAGACAAGGTCGGGACAAACAACTCGTATCAATGCCACCGACATTAGTGGCCAAGTGAAGCAGCTTTGTGTGCGAGTCTAAATGGCATTAATTATTCATTTGTGGTGTGCTTCACTTCAGCGTGTTGGTTGAGTGCGTACATTTAGTCTGATAGCACTTACGACAAAACCAAAGCACTATCCAACACAATATCGACATCCACAAAGCGTGTGTACAAACTATGTACTGGTCCGTAGTGTTGTAAAGCTGTAATCACCCAGCTCCGATCTGCTGCACTGCTATGTGTAGTGGATGTGGTCACGGTACAGTGCTGTTCGCCGTTTACTATCAAGTGACATGTATTTGCTACTGAAGGATCCAACTAGTTGCTACTGTGTGACGAGGAGCGCAGAATAGTAAGCTTTAATGGGACTACTTACGGGGCTACTGCCAGCCTAGAACATTATCTGAAACATCAGTTGGTGTATGCAATATGTAAGACGTCGATCAGCCCGTCTAATGTTTACCTAGTATAAACGTTATGCAATAAAGACAGGGTGAGTGCGCGTGTGGACTCCTTAGGAATCTGGAGGAAAACTGTGTATTGATACTATGAGTCTGCCGTCATGGCATGTTCGAATGGTTGACAGGCCTTTACTCTTGCTCACATTTCAGTTTCTGGCACATTCAAATATAGCAAAATTTCGTAACGTAAAATGTTCCAAACGGAAATCCCACAATGAACAAGGTAGGGGCAGGAATGTATCACCATGTTTCAACTGCTTACACTGCTCGTAAAACAATTACCACTGCATAATGGCCTCTCATATCTGGTATGCCGTATCGATACATCTAGAGATTTTAAAAACCCATGCACATTATTTGATGTATGGAACAAAGTCTCATGCATGTGAACACATAACGTATTATTGTAGATAGATTAGAAGGAGATGCTCCATTCTTCAGTTATTCAGACACAAGGTCTCCGTGAGCCGGATGTCGAACACAGCATAAAACTAAAGTTTCAGTTTTTTCTGCAGTACCTTGTGAGGGTCATTTGCTTATTCATATGTTTCATTATGCAATTCCAAGATATAGAATTAAAATATCAAGATGCGCAAGTTGATACGAATTGAAAGTCATTTCCAAATGGTAATTACTAACTGTTAACATCTTAAGATAAAGAGGTACCCTTGAGGTAGATAATCTTCCGAAGTAAGGAAATAGCCAAGAAAGAATTGGCCATAAGAGGCTAACGTAACTTTGAGACATTCATCAAGATATACCTTTATAATATGGTGAAAAAATGTGGGAAACAAACGAAGCCGCCTCTCGTCATTCTCATAGTGTCTGTCCTCGCAGAACTGTAGTTGTTACTCATGAAATGTGTTAAAATATTGGGTGTTTGGACGTATACTAGTAGTTAGGAAGTGAAATTGGATGAAGTTGCAGGTCACACCCAGACTCCCTGGCTCCATGGACATGCCTTGGATTGATGCTACGGAATGACACCAGGTGGTATATTTGGGGACAGTTTTCCCAACAATTTGTGCATTGTGATGCAGTTGTCTTCTGAGGCTGTGAAATGTATTTTTGTTATTATAGGATATTTATACAGCGCACATATCCACGCAAGTAGTACATACTCAAGGCGCTGTACATGTATACAATGATGATTTATATATATCTATCTCCATCCTTGGTCAACAAGGGTATCAGGTTCTCTACTTACAATGAACCCTGACCCCTCAGCAATGACGTATTCAGTGGTTCTACCGACACAACACTGGATAAAAACCCTATTCAAATTAAACTTTTGTACGAGAGAAATTTTCTCTGAAGGCTATACTGTAAGAGTACTTCTCTTAGGGATACATTTGTTAATGAAATGCTAACATGAGTTGCTATGACGCAAAGCAATGAAAGTGACCAGGGTATTTGATTGCATAGACTTGAGTGTCGAGGATGGCAACTTTGTGAAATAACTTGCACTGTTGTTTGCTTAGATATATATAATGTTGTGTAGTCTCCTCGGTGTTGAACTGTCATACAGATTTATTTTACATATCAATATGTGCACATATTTCATTACATTTCACATGTTTACAAACAGGAGGTGTGCATTATAAGACATTCCTCCAGGGAGAGTATCTGTGTTGGCTGCAAATGAATATATTTTCGTTAACGCTCTAATTACAATAGAGTCAGTTATAAGAATGAGTAAATTAATCTTATGTGCTCACATAACGAAGAGCCACATGCGAAATGTTCAATAAGATTGAGGTGTTAATGAAGTATCATTATTCTTGTATGTACGTCTCTATACTATTCTGTTTACTGTTCTACTACAAATGTTTTCTTTGATAACGTATAGTGAAAGCACGTGACCAAAACGTATAATTAAGTTCTACCTCATACTTGGAACATCATGACTTCGCATCACCCCTCGGGGATGCGTCACCACCATCTGTGTTGCTCACTCATGCTCAGACACTGAGCGACTACTGTTTCAAACGGCACGTCTACTTTATGCGGAAATAAAGGCTTTTAATGTCTCCTGTTTGTGGTTTCTTGGACATTCATGGTGCGATCTTCCGACATGTACATGTAGACCGCCTACCAACAGATACGGAGGACCATAAGAACCAACGTGAGGTCCTGGGAACCCGGTAGGACGAACATCAGGTACCGAGGACCCGTTAGAACCAACGTGAGGTGCCGAGACCCGGTAGGACCAACATCAGATACTGGGACCTGCAAGACAAACATGAGATACTGGGGTCCTTTTTGCCAAATACGACATACTGGGTCCATTATGCCAAACATGGGATACTGGGGCCTTCAAGCCAAACACAAGATAATGGAAAACCCTGGAAAAGCGTTGGTAGGGCAGAAAACACTGTGTGTGGGATGATAACACTGTGTGTGTGGTCACAAAACTGTGTGTAGGGCTGAGAACACTCTGTGTAGGGTTTAGAAGACTGTGTGTGGGATGAAAACATCGTGTTTTAGGGCTGGGAACACTGTGTGTAGGGTGACAACCCCGTGTGTAAGGCTGAGAACACTGTGTTTGGGGCTGAGAACACTGTGTGTAGGGCTGAGAAACTGTATGTAGGACTGAGAACACAGTGTAGGGTTGTGAACACCGTTTGTAGGGCTGAGAACACTGTGTGTAGGGCTGAGAACACTGTGTAGGGCTGAGAACACTGTGTGCAGGGCTGAGAACACTGTGTAGGGCTGAGAAGACTGGGTGCAGGACTGAGAACACAGTGTAGGGTTGTGAACACCGTTTGTAGGGCTGAGAACACTGTGTGCAGGGCTGAGAACACTGTGTAGGGCTGAGAAGACTGGGTGCAGGACTGAGAACACAGTGTAGGGTTGTGAACACTGTGTGCAGGGCTGAGAACACTCTGTGTAGGGCTGAGAACACTGCGGTTAGACTTGAGGACACCGTGTGTAGTCCTGACAACACCGTGTGTAGGTTTGTATGGCAGAGAACACTGTGTGAGGGGCTGAGAACACTGCGGTTAGACTTGAGGACACCGTGTGTAGTCCTGACAACAACGTGTGTAGGTTTGTATGGCAGAGAACACTGTGTGTGGGGCTGAGAACACTGTGTGTAGGGCTGAGATCACCGAGTGTAGGGCTGCGAACACCGTGTTTATGGCTGAGAACACTGTGGGTAGACCTGAGGACACTGTCTGTAGGGCTGAGAACTGTCTGTGTGTGGTGACAACACCGTGTGTAATGCTTAGAACACTGTGTGTAGGGTTGAGAACACCGTGTTGAAGGCTGAGAACACCGTGTGTAGGGCTGGGGACACTGTGTGTGGGGTGACAACACTATGTGTATGGCTGAGAACACTGTGTGTAGTATAAGAGCACTGTGTGTAGTATAAGAGCACTGTGTGTAGTATAAGAGCACTGTGTGTAGGGCTGACAAGACTGTTTGTGGGACGACAACATCGTGTGGTGTGTAGGGCTGAGGACACTGTTTGTATGGCTGAGAACACCGTGTTTAGGGCTGAGAACACTGTGTGGAGTGCTGAGAACTCAGTGTGTGGGGTGACAACACTGTGTGTAGGGCTGAGAACCCTGTGTGTATTCCTGAGAACACTGTGTGTGGTATAAGAACACTGTATGTAGGGCTGAGAACACTGTTTGTTGGACGACAACACCGTGTGTAGCTCTGAGGACACGTATGCAGAGCTGAGAACACTGTGTGGGGGATGACAACACCGTGTCTAAGGCTGAGGACACTGTGTGTAGGGCTCTCAACACTGTTTGTGGGGTTATATTTGAATACATGAAGGTCTGAGTTGGATATCTTGATCAACACACTGTTGAACATGCAACAGATAGCGTACAGTCAAATGAGGTCGTTTTACTTCGTCTCGAAGGCCAAACAGCACTGAAAGTCAGTATCTCTTGGTGCCCTTGCCCTGTCAAACACTATCAATCGCATGCTGTGACTCGGTAAAATATCAAAACAGCTTTTAGTACCGCCCATTATCCGCAGGCGTCTGTCACTCATGACTTGCGCGTGAACAGCTGAAGTTATATGCAGAATGAAAATAACTTCATTTCGGTTATGAAAGACTGTGCATGACATATGCAACAGGATGTATCGCACATTTAAAAACAAACATTATTCAGGCATTTGAAAGGAAAGTAGGTCAGAGTGTGATGTACTGGTGGTAGTGATCCTGTATAACGACACATCCTAGTTGGAGGGGACAAGGTGTGCTTGACAGCACGTCAACAAACTTTCACAACGCTACCAGGTAAGAGAAAACAAGGAGGGAAAGCATAGGAATGGTGTTTGTGGATGAACACTTGCTACACACATGATAATTTTCTTCACAGTCGTGTACCTAAACCTATTGTGGTATGGATCTGTGTAGACACATGTGTTGCCATTGCTTGCTCGATAGAGACATCGCCGTACTGGCTTAATATATATACATAGGATATAGCGGTTAAGGTGACACAAGGCTTGGGTTTGTGTGCCTCCTGTTTGATAGTGCGACCTGCTGCGCAATTGAAACTGAATATGTACGCGGTGCACGGCTACGCTGGTATATAGGATAGACACAGTACACTCTGCAAACACCAGGTGAGCCAAACAACATACACTCATCCTTTCTAGGTTGAAATATGCGTAGTAAATATATCACATTAATGAAACAAATGATCATTTCTGTACTTAATGCTGAATAATAATAACAACGTATTTTGGGGCATAGTAACCTGTCTTCTGTATGTTTAACTTGTGCCACTCTGTAGAGCAGGACCAGAGAAAGCCTTTATACATGATATTTGGTGACCTGGTGTATATATGGTATACTAGTTGTAGCAAGCTGCAAGGTGGTATGCTTACTTGAAGGAGGTGTAAACATACTGTCCTCCTGTAAAAAGCTGTAAGCCTCGGCACGCTACGTCACGCTTCGTCTGTACACTTGTGTGAGACTGTAAACCTGTAAACTCCAAACATGTAGTACTCTGGCCGTCATCAGATGAAATTCTCACGAAGCATTCATGTCATTGTTTCTCCGTCAGCAGCGTCCATGGCAGAAGAGTCACCGCCGACGTTGTCGCTGACCGACAGCGAGGCCGATGAGGAAAATACCGGCTTTGTTGATGATTGGCAGTCGGGGAAGGATTTTATTCAGACCAACCTGATGATGCTGGACAGCGAAACTCTGTCTGACGTCACCTTCGTCGTTGGGAAGGAAATGGAGACAATACTGGCTCATAAATTCATGCTCGCAAGCCGCAGCTGCGTGTTTTTTGCGATGTTTTGTGGTAGTATCGCAGAAAAGAAGGAGGTGAAGATTACAGATATACAGCCTAACATCTTCAGACAGTTTCTAAGGTAGTATTTTACCCGAGACACTACTCTCAGCCTTTGTCTCTAATAATCTCTAGTATATAGGAGAATATTGTCCTGGCCAGCACGGCCCGGTCTGACGTCATACCTTACGTCTGGAGACCGACCATTGAATGTTTTGTGGGAGGGAAGACAATTGCCATTGTCAGCCTCACCCTCTCGACGTTTCCATGGAATGTCCAATACATGTTTACTACCAGCATATCCCCTGGTGCATTTAAACTTTCTTTTAAATCCCGAGGTTACTGTTGTTTCAGTATTTACTTGTTTTTTCCAAAGATTGTTGGCCAATGGGTCTCTGTGTTCAGCAGGTGCATATGTGAGATTGTTGGCCAATGTGTCTATGCTTTCTGAAAGTGGAGATGTGAAATTGTTGGCCGATTTGTCTGTGTGTTCTACAGGTGTAGATGTGAAATTGTTGGCCAGATGTGTCTATGTGTTCTGAAGGTTGAAATGTGAAATTGTTGGCCGATGTGTCTATGCTTTCTGAAAGTGGAGATGTGAAATTGTTGGCCAATGTGTCTATGTGTTCTAAAGGTGTAGATGTGAAATTGTTGGTCAGTTTGTCTATATGTTCTACAGGTGTAGATGTGAAATTGTTGGCCGATGTGTCTATGTGTTCTGAAGGTGTGTTGTTGGCCTGAAGTGTGTGAAATTGTTGGGCAATGTGTCTATGTGTTCTGAAGGTTTAGATGTGAAATTGTTGGCCGATGTGTCTATGCTTTCTGAAAGTGGAGATGTGAAATTGTTGGCCGATGTGTCTATGTGTTCTAAAGGTGGAGATGTGAAATTGTTGGTCAGTTTGTCTATATGTTCTACAGGTGTAGATGTGAGATTGTTGGCCGATGTGTCTATGTGTTCTGAAGGTGTAGATGTGAGATTGTTGGCCAATGTGTCTATGCTTTCTGAAGGTGTAGATGTGAAATTGTTGGCCGATGTGTCTATGTGTTCTGAAGGTGTAGATGTGAAATTGTTGGCCAATGTGTCTATGTGTTCTGAAGGTTAAGATGTGAAATTGTTGGCCAATGTGTCTATGTGTTCTGATGTGAAATTGGTGTCGATGTTCAGAGATTGTTGGCCAATGTGTCTATGTGTTCTGAAGGTTAAGATGTGGAATTGTTGGCCGATTGTCTATGTGTTCGATGTGTCTATGTGTTCTGAAGGTGTCGATGTGAGATTGTTGGCCAATGTGTCTATGTGTTCTGAAGGTGTAGATGTGAAATTGTTGGCCAATGTGTCTATGTGTTCTGAAGGTGTAAGATGTGAAATTGTTGGCCAATGTGTCTATGTGTTCTGAAGGTGTAGATGTGAAATTGTTGGCCAATGTGTCTATGTGTTCTGAAGGTGTATGTGTCTATGTGTGAGATGTGAAATTGTTGGCCAATGTGTCTATGTGTTCTCTGAAGGTGTGTGAAATTGTTGGCGATGTGTGAATGTGTCTATGTGTTCTGAAATTGTTGGCCAATGTGTCTATGTGTTCTGAAGGTGTAGATGTGAAATTGTTGGCCAATGTGTCTATGCTTTCTGAAGGTGTCGATGTGAAATTGTTGGCCAGTGTGTCTATATGTTCTGAAGGTGAAGATGTGAAATTGTTGGCCGATGTGTCTATGTGTTCTGAAGGTGTAGATGTGAAATTGTTGGCCGATGTGTCTATGTGTTCTGAAGGTGTAGATGTGAGATTGTTGGCCAATGTGTCTATGTGTTCTGAAGGTTAAGATGTGAGATTGTTGGCCAATGTGTCTATATGTTCTGAAGGTGAAGATGTGAGAAGATGTGTCTATGTGTTCTGAAGGTTAAGATGTGAGATTGTTGGCCAATGTGTCTGTGCTTTCTGAAGGTTAAGATGTGAAATTGTTGGCCAGTGTGTCTATATGTTCTGCAGGTTAAGATGTGAAATTGTTGGCCAATGTGTCTATATGTTCTGAAGGTGTCAGATGTGAGATTGTTGGCCAATGTGTCTATGTGTTCTGAAGGTGTAGATGTGAGATTGTTGGCCAATGTGTCTGTGCTTTCTGAAGGTTAAGATGTGAAATTGTTGGCCAGTGTGTCTATGATGATGTGAAATTGTTTCTGTTCTGACAGGTGTCGATGTGAAATTGTTGGCCGATGTGTCTATATGTTCTGAAGGTGTCGATGTGAAATTGTTGGCCGATGTGTCTATGCTTTCTGAAGGTTAAGATGTGAAATTGTTGGCCGATGTGTCTATATGTTCAGCAGGTGAAGATGTGAGATTGTTGGCCAATGTGTCTATATGTTCTGAAGGTGTCGATGTGAGATTGTTGGCCAATGTGTCTATGCTTTCTGAAGGTTAAGATGTGAAATTGTTGGCCGATGTGTCTATATGTTCTGAAGGTAGAGATGTTAGACTGTTGGCCAATGTGTCTATGTGTTCTGCAGGTACCTGTACACTGGGGTCATCTCACTGTCGGCGGACAATGCCCTCAACCTGCTCTACTGCTCCAAGAAATACTGTGTCAAGTCCTTAGAACAGGAAGTCTTTGAATACTGTCAGTGTTCTATCACGGCTGACAACGCCTGCGTATTGCTGGAGCAAGCTTGTCTGTTTGATATGGAACAGCTACAGGAGAAAGCTTTCAAGGTGATAAAGAGAGACGCCGTCCTCGTGTTGCAGTCGGACGGCTTCACTGGCCTCTCCCATCAGAACCTGGACAAGCTGCTGGACATGGACGACCTCAAGGCAAGTGAGGACGTCATCTTCAAAGCCGTTGTCGCATGGGCCAAGGCAGAATGCATTAGACAGGGAAAGACTCACAGCTCTGTCGATATTAGAGAAGTTCTCGGTCAAACGCTGTATAAAATCAGGTTCTCCCTTATGGCCCAGTCTGTGTTCGTAAGGCTGGTTGGAGATGGCATTCTTACCGACAGCGAAAAGGTGAAGATATTAGAACGCTATATCTCGCCTAAGTCCAACATTGAACCGTTCATCGGGAAGCCCCGCGACACCGGAGAAATCACATACAGGGTACAACGTCTGGTTCAAGGCGGGCTTGGGTATCCACTGAGTAAAGTCAAAGATGCTCTGTACATATTCTGCGACAAGCCTGTTATTTTCATGGGCATGATGTTGTACGCTCCAGCAAATATCACCACCGGCGTCTTATCTTACTTTAAGTCCTTACTTGACGCCCAGAATGACGTCAATACAAACACGGCGAAATACTACGTTACGCTGGTTATCCGCAACGCTCAGAACGTCAGGGTGGGCATCCACCACATGGACATGGACGTACTGGCTGGGGACGAGCAGCTAGAAATTACAATGACAACGCCCGTCCCCCTGACTCCAAATGAGAGGTACACCATCACGGTGGTCGTTGAGGGCTCAGTGCGAGGCTGGGGTGGCATGAACGGCTTGTCCACACTCACCGACCCAGGGGGTGAAATTACTTGGCAGTTTGAGCACGTGCCCACTGTGGGGAACACTGAAAACAGCCTGAAGGAAGGGATCATATCGGGAATCATGTACTGTCTCATTAGAGATACCTAAGTCAAGCAGGTCAAGCTTCATTAGAATCAAGCTGCTTGTGATTGTAAGGAACTGCCTTTCACCCTTGTAAACTCGCATCTGAAGTGCTGGGAAGGCTAACATTTATTTTTCAGATTTCCCGGGAGAGCAAATTTCCAAGGGAGTAGGGGAGTACCACCAAAGCTAAAGATACGGTGCCGGGAAGCATAATCCATGTCGGGAGTAGGTAGATTTCTTCAAAACACTGTTATAGTAGAGTGTTTATCTTCTTCACTTGTTTAGAACTTTAAGATGAAAGTAATTACAGGGGAATCACCATAAACAGCTGCAGTTAATCGTGACAGTCTATTTCTACAGTTACATCTGGTGGGCATCAGAGGTAGACTATGGAAAATAATCGTGTCTATGTATGACACTGTGCAATCATGTGTTAAACACAATGGTGAGTTATCTGGCTTCTTTCTATGCTCCCTGGGTATTAAACAAGGTGAAGTAATGTCACCGATTCTTTTCTCACTATATCTTGAAGATATTGAAGTAGCACTACAGCATGTATCGAAAACCCTGTGTGAACTATTCGACTCTTTTGTTACCTCTACTGTGATGTACGGCTGCGAAGTGTGGGGTATTGTGAAATGTTCAGAATTTGAAAGAATTCACTTAAAAGTTTGCAGGCGTATTTTGCAGATCAGTGCCATATCATCTACAGTTGCTGTATACGGCGAACTAGGGAGGTGCCCTTTATATATAAATAGGTATGTCCGTGTGTTACGTTATTGGTTTAAGTTATTACCCAGTGAAAACTGTATACAGAGGGTCGTTAATGGTATATGTTTACATGGTCTAAATAATGGTTATAAATCATGGTTACGTAGTGCTAAAATGTTTGTGTATGAACTTGGTTTGGGGCATGTCTTGGAATTTCCAATTGTTAATGTTGATAGTTTTTGTAAAGTTGTTTAAAAACTAGATTGACAGAAATGCGTTTTACTGTGGAAAATATTTATTTATATTTTTATATGTGCCCAAATTAAAGAGCGTCCACGTTGATCCTGTTTTCTTTGTAATTTGTCAGAGCCTTCGAGTGAGGCGCGCCGTGTTCATTCAGCCATAACATTGCATTGCAAGTACCGGGAAGGCTACGCTCATTGAACCGAAAAGCGTCACGATTTTAGCCTTCCCGGCCATGAACCGACGGGGGTACCCGCGTGAGCGGGATTCTAATTATTGACTACTTATAGAGAAATTGAAACTATGTATGTGTATAGCATATTGCCTATTTTCAAGTTTGGAGTGATTGTGTATTTAATTGTAAATAATACTGTGGTTATAAAATATGTATGTTAAGGAATTCTCTTTTACGTTGTGACCCGTGAAGATCCGGGGTAGAATAGGTCTTCAGCAACCCATGCTTGCTACAAAAGGCGACTATGCTTGTTATAAGAGGCCTCTTACGGGATCGGGTGGTCCGGCTCGCTGACTTGGTTGACACATGTCATCGGTTCCCAATTGCGTAGATCGATGCTCATGCTGTTGATCACTGGATTGTCTGGTCCAGACTCGATTATTTACAGACCGCCGCCATATAGCTGTAATATTGCTGAGTGCGGCGTAAAACTAAACTCACTCACTCACTCTTTTACGTTGTACGTAAAATGAGCTTGGGTGTATGCGTAGACTTGGTTTCGTAGCTATATGGCTGACATAATGCCGATGCGACGTAAACGTTTAAATCACTTACTTACTTAAAGGAGATATAAAGTGCAAACTAAATCAGTGGTAAAACTGAAAAAGAAATATTATTTCGGAATTCAACATTTGCAGGATAAACACACATAGTACAAAAGTACTCGTATTCCGGAAACTATTGAACATCTTTGAGCAGAGTTGACATCACGTGAGGTGGCATCATAGTGGTTGAAGAGGTTGAAGGCTTGCATAATGACATTGCACGTATTCGTACTTATCAAGTTGGACGATGGTCGATGAAAATAGTGATGGAGGTAAACAAGGTAAATCCATCGGGTGAAGACCTTTATGTGATCATTAACGATAGAGAGTACAAATCATACATACATGTTACATCCGATAAAAGTAACATGTCAATTGTCGATACTGAAGTTCCCAAGGAAAATAAGTTCAACAATATATCTTGTTAATCATGTCATTTTATGCCCGTTGTCCGCTGAATGTATCTTTTCAATTACATTGCATGTAATGTATGTGGTTGTGAGGATAATAGATCTTATATTAATGTTAAGTTGAGAAACAGCTTAATTTCAGTGCTTACATAATCGTACTGTGCAATCATTTAATTCTAAAGACTAGTTTACATTGTCCAATATGTCTCCTGCATATGTTGTAAATGCTCTTCCACTGGCAAGTCATTATCGCGACATTTACAGACTCAGTTGGCAGGGCAGCTTCATCAATTTTGTTATTGCATTTTCGTAGCAAAATTCCGCCAGTGTGTCTGAAACTCTACCATAGGCAGATGCTTCAAAATCTAAGGAACATAGCATGGCATGTCCAGTCGGATTCCATTCTTTTCTCCACGCTGACTTTCCTGCTTGCTAAATCGGGCAGAATCGGTCTAGATTTCGATATGAATGCGCGCTGGTTGAAGGATTAGATCAGCTGTGTGTTGTTTGTTAGATATGAAACAATCACACATGTCAATGTTTCTTTATATGCAAATATATGCTCTGTTTGACCATTTACCACACTTTAAGAAGTTTTTATTCACATTATCTCAGTTTAAGACTTCTCGCCTGACTCAGTCAGGAAAGAATCTTTATCAGCTTGTAATAAATTCACATGTCTGTTTTCTGATCCTATGGAATATACAGTTCACACGAGTTAGACTTTTCATTGTTTATATTTTAGCATTTGGCTAGTTGAAAATGACAGACACATAGGGTTAAAACCCACATCTTTAACGCCATTAGGGTCACTGGAGGTAACTATCAATTTCTGACGTCAGTGTCACAATGTATGCAGTAACTATTACTATCTGACTTCGGTGTCACAATGGATGCAGTAACTATCACTATCTGACTTCGGGGTCACAATGGATGCAGTAACTATCACTATCTGACTCTGGGGTCACAATGTATTGAGTAACTATCACTATCTGAGGTCAGTGTCACAATGGATGCTGTAACTATCACTATCTGACGTCAGTGTCATAATGGATGCTGTTACTAACACTATCTGACTTCGGTGTCACGATGGATGCTGTAACTATCACTGGATCAGTGTCATAATGGATGCTACTCACTATCTGACTTCGGTGTCACAATGGATGCTGTGCTCACTATCTGAGGTCAGTGTCACAATGGATGCTGTAACTATCACTATCTGACGTCAGTGTCATAATGGATGCTGTTACTAACACTATCTGACTTCGGTGTCATAATGGATGCAGTAACTATCACTATCCGACGTCAGTGTCACAATGGATACAGTAAATATCACTATCTGACGTCAGTGTCACAATGGATGCTGTTACTAACACTATCTGACTTCGGTGTCACAATGGATATAGTAACTATTACTATCTGACGTCAGTGTCATAATGGATGCTGTTACTAACACTATGTGACTTCGGGGTCACAATGGATGCAGTAACTATCACTATCTGACTCTGGGGTCACAATATATTGAGTAACTATCACTATCTGAGGTCAGTGTCACAATGGATGCTGTAACTATCACTATCTGACGTCAGTGTCACAATGGATGCTGTAACTATCACTATGGTCAGTGTCATAATGGATGCTGTTACTAACACTATCTGACTTCGGTGTCAGTAACTATCACTATCTGACGTCAGTGTCACAATGGATACAGTAACTATCACTATCTGACGTCAGTGTCATAATGGATGCTGTTACTAACACTATCTGACTTCGGTGTCACAATGGGTGCAGTAACTATCACTATCTGACGTCAGTGTCACAATGGATACAGTAACTATCACTATCTGACGTCAGTGTCACAATGGATGCTGTTACTAACACTATCTGACATCGGTGTCACAATGGATATAGTAACTATCACTATCTGACGTCAGTGTCATAATGGATGCTGTTACTAACACTATCTGACGTCACTGTCACAATGTATTGAGTAACTATCACGATCTGACTTCCTAGAGAGTGCTCAGACAGTATATTCTATGGATGAGACAATTACTCCAAGGTGACTGATAATATGTTTTATGTATAAGTTACCTACAACGTTAACCAGTATAATAACCACGTCAGTAGTCGCCTCCCATGTTCCCTAGTGTAATCATCACCTCACTAGTCACCTCCCATGTTACCTAGTGTAATCACCACCTCACTAGTCACCTCCCAGGTTACCTAGTGTAATCACCACCTCAGTAGTCGCATCCCATGTTACCCAGTTTAATCACTACCAAAGTGGTAGCCTCCCATGTTACCCAGTGAAATCACTACCTCAGTCGTCACCTCCCATGTTACCCAGTGTAATCGCCACGTCGTTAGTGGCATCCTATGTTACCCATTGTATTCACCACCTCAGTACTCGCATCCCATGTTACTCAGTGTAATCACCACCTCAGTAGTCACCTCCTATGTTACCCTGTGTAATCACCACCTCAGTACTCGCATCCCATGTTACTCAGTGTAATCACTACCTCAGTAGTCGCCTCCCATGTTACCCAGTGTAATCACAACCTCAGTAGTCACCTCCCATGTTACCAGGTGTAATCACCACCTCACTAGTCACCTCCCATGTTACCCAGTGTAATCACCACCTCAGTAGTCACCTCCCATGTTACCTAGTGTAATCACCACCTCACTAGTCACCTCCCATGTTACCCAGTGTAATCACTACCCCAGTAGTCACCTCGCATGTTACCCAGTGTAATCACCACGTCAGTAGTCACCTCCCATGTTACCCAGTATAATCACCACGGCACTAGTAGAATCCCATGTTACCCAGCGTAATCACTACCGCAGTAGTCGCCTCCCATGTTACCTAGTGTAATCACTACCTCAGTAGTCGCCTCCCATGTTACCCAGTGTAATCACCACCTCAGTAGTCGCCTCCCATGTTACCCAGTGTAATCACTACCTCAGTAGTCGCCTCCCATGTTACCCAGTGTAATCACTACCTCAGTAGTCACCTCCCATGTTACCCAGTGTAATCACCACCTCAGTAGTCGCCTCCCATGTTACCCAGTGTAATCACTACATCAGTAGTCGCCTCCCATGTTACCCAGTGTAATCACTACAGTAGTCGCCTCAGTAGTCGCCTCCCATGTTACCCAGTGTAATCAGTGTAATCACCTCGTCAGTAGTCACCTCCTATGTTACCCAGTGTAATCACAACGTCAGTAGTCGCCTCCCATGTTACCAAGTGTAATCATAACCTCAGTAGTCGCCTCCAATGCTACCCAATGTAATCTCCACCTTAGTAGTCACATCCCATGTTACCCAGTGTAATCACCAACTCAGTAGTCGCCTCCCATGTTACCCAGTGAAATCACTACCTCAGTAGTCGCCTCCAATGTTACCCAGTGTAATCAGTACCTCAGGAGTCGCCACTCATGTTACCCAGTGTAATCACCTCGTCAGTAGTCACCTCCTATGTTACCCAGTGTAATCACAACGTCAGTAGTCGCCTCCCATGTTACCCAGTGTAATCACTACCTCAGTAGTCGCCTCCCATGTTACCCAGTGTAATCACCACCTCAGTAGTCGCCTCCCATGTTACCCAGTGAAATCACTACCTCAGTAGTCGCCTCCCATGTTACCCAGTGTAATCACTACCTCAGTAGTCACCTCCCATGTTACCCAGTGTAATCACCACCTCAGTAGTCACCTCCCATGTTACCTAGTGTAATCACCACCTCAGTAGTCACCTCCCATGTTACCCAGTGTAATCACCACCTCAGTAGTCATCCTCCCATGTTACCCAGTGTAATCACTACCTCAGTAGTCGCCTCCCATGTTACCCAGTGTAATCACTACCTCAGTAGTCGCCTCCCATGTTACCCAGTGTAATCACCACCTCAGTAG